ATTTATTGATTTTGGAAATGTATAATTTCATGGTCATGCCATAATACATGTAAATGAATTCACACATATTGGATAACTGTAAAATGTGTCGGCAATTAAAGAACACATTTTCAGTGCTTTGAAGTTTTAATTTATCATATCCATCAGCAATAAGGAAATCTTATTAAGGAAACATATCATGTATTTGGTACTAAAATTACAATACAGATTTAGTGGTCCATGGATAGAGTTTATAAACATCTCATAATTTCTTACACTAAAAAGGAAATGTTTAAAATATGTAAAGCCACCTGTCTAGTAAGATTGAAGTCAGAATCTGTTTATGAAAAATCAGTATTTTTCAAAGTGTCTGACAAAATATTTGTAATTCATTTTTAGCTCATCTCAACGAAATCGAGATGAGCTCATACTATACCTCTGGTGTTGGTGTTGGCATCCCAGTTAAAGTTTTAAGAGCAGGTATCATTCCCAGTTAACTACGGTATAAGCCCTATACCTGGACCAATCCTGGACCAATGCATCATGGGATATATACCACTTGACTTGATCTGACCTACATTTCCCAAATCAAAGGACAGGTTTAAGTTTTTGAGCAAGTTTAAGGAGCAGCTCTCATTTCAAAGTAACTGTAAGCCCCATTGTAACTGAACTTGCATAGATGATGCATCAATGAATGCACATTACCAGACTAGCTGTGGATGCTGGATTTGACCTCCATTTTCTGGATGAGTGAACAGTGTAAAGTTTTTGGAGCAGGTTCATTCCCAAGTAACTTAAAGTCCTATGGTAACAAAAATGCGCATTGAAGATTCATCTAGAGATGTGCACTACAAGACTTTCTTCAGATGCTGGATCTGGCCTCCATTTTCTGGATGAGTGAACAGATTAAAGGTTTTTGAGCAGGTTTATTCCAAAGTAACTGTAAGCCCTACCTGGATGAAACTTGAATGGATAATGTACACTTCCAGACTCACTTCAGATGCTAGATAATTTGACCTACATTTTTCGGACAAGTGAACAGCTTTGGATGCTGAATCTGACCTCCATTTTCTGGATGAGTGAACAGGTTTAAGTCATTCCTAATTAACTATAAACCCTACCTGGAAGAATCTTGTATGGATGATGCATTTAGGGATTTACACTACCAGGCTGGTTGTGGATGCTTTATCTGACCGACAATTTCCAGATGAGTAAACGTTTAAATGTTTTAGAGCAGGTTCAGTCCTAAGTAACTGTAAGCCCTACTTAGATCATACTTGCATGGATGATTCATCTGTTGATGCACAATACCAAACTTACCATGTTATGCTGAATTTGACCTAAATTTTCCAACCGAGTGAACAGGTTCTAGCCCTACCTGGACTGATGCATGTAGGTGAGCTTTGTAACCTTTGATTATCTATCTCTCCTTTTTATTTTAAAATGGATGTGCTGGATTTTTTCTTGAATAACTTAAATTTCCTTCATGTGTGTAACAGATCATTAGTAGCAAGAACATGTATAGGTTGCTATCAAAATCAGGTAAAGCAAAAATGCTGGGCAGATAGAAAATTCTTCAACATCAAAACTGCATGTTGACAAATGTAAAAACATACAGTGTAGTGCATATATTCAGTGTGAACAACATGATTTTAAAAAATGATTTAGTTGTATGCATAAATGGAAAATTAAAGAAGTCAATGAGAGGCAAATTTTATTTAAGAAATGTTGATTTAGTGAAAAACACTTGTTTGTGATGTATGCATTCATAAAATCTATGAATGAAATTCCAGTCATGGAGGTCTGTCATTTGTATACCGCATGATTTTCATTCAGGCACAGTTTAAAAACCATTTAATTACAAGTGGTGTGTAAACATGAGCATTTAAGGTAAATTGAACAAAAATGCCTACTGTGTGCAGTTTTACTGTTATATAGTACACAAATATCTGACTTCTGTGATTGTCAAAAGGGAATTTTCTGATGGATATTTCAATAAATCTGTTAACCTTATCTCAAGATAAACACATCTCCACCTATACAAAGAATATTTTTATGGCTCAAAGATTTAATATCGGATCTACAGAGTAGCTTAAAAAAAAAGGTTCTAAATTTGTGAATTGAATTTTTTTTTCTTTAAAGTCTTAGATAATTGCAATTATATGTTAAAGTGTTTTTTTTAAAATTTAAATAAATTTTGAAAAGGACATCTTTTTAGACATAGTATACAAGCAGGGCTTTCAATAAAGGTAGGAAGGAGGTGATTTTTTTACCATTTCAATCTTCAAATTACATAATTGGCAAAATAAACTGTAATATTGGAAATTAATAAATTCACCTCTTTACTTCAGAATTATTGAAATCCCTGTACGAGTACTATGTACATGCTCTGACTCTATCAGTATCCATCCTTCCCTTAACATGAATCTCTCTCTTTATCATAATTAAATATATTGGAATAGATTAAATATATACTACAATATTTGATTACTTGGTAACACATTGTAAAGGTGAAAACTGCAGCCCCCTCCCCCCCCCCCCTTTTTTTTAAGCTGTTATTTCATAGTGGAAATTAAAAGTCAGATTTTAAAGTACAACTACCTACAGAAGAAGTCAATGTGATAAAACCTCTTGACACATTGTTGTTGATCAGTAGCAACGCTTTTATCAACACACAGAGCCCAAGTAATTAATAGGACATCAATTCTAAAAGTACAATTACTAGTAGAAACTTCATGGATGTCATTGAAAAAATAAATGTTAACAAGGAAGAAAATAAATAGATTTTTAGTGCATGTTTAAGTTCAGGGTCCTCAGCTGTACTTTTTTTGAGAGCTACCCTGTATAACTAGATAGTGGGTGGATGTATGATCCATGTGCTTATTCTCATTTTGCAGAGTGATTTGGGTATTGGAAAACTCCCTTCACTTGTAGGTGGGTCTCCAAGGAACTGTGCAGGAGTTTTCAACCTTAAATACAAATTTAAGTGCATATTAATGTTTAAATGAAAATGTGTATTTGTGACATTGTAGACTTTGATGGATTATTTGCAGGAGTTGGGAAGATTGAAGTGTAATTTTTGGTCTTGGATTTAGAATTTGTAGCTTAGTTTAACTTTTTATTATTTTTTTTTTATTGTATGAATATAATTTGTTTGTATAAAGTTTTATTTCATAAATCAGATATTTGATAACTGGAAAAATTTAATACTTGATATATCTATACCAAAAAAGCAAACAACAACAAAAAACCTCAGTGAGTTTTTCAGCCTTTGATGTGGATTAATTGTTTAAATATTTTAGTGGTTTTGATTCATGTACATTGAATATTAAGTATTTACTTTGTGACATAAATTGCCAAGTGTGAAATTAACATACTCATCACTTGTTTATTGAAGCAGTAAAATGAACCATATAAGATTGTTCAAAGAACAAAAACCGGTTTTCATCCATTTTTTATCAATGATCTTCGAAAAAACTGCAGTTATTGGAGGCCATGATTAAATTACAGGGATAATCCATTTCCTTATCAGTGCATATTTTTTCAAATGCTTCCTCTTTAGCATAATTGCTTAGAAGATGGATTAAAAACAGACTTGCATCTTGAGGCATGAATTGATTTCTGGTGCAGCAAAAAAAAATTATTGGCAACTATAGTTCCCGGGAGGTGTCTCCTAACGTGTTAGTGTAATGATAGATGGAGCTAACTGTTATGTATGTTCATCGACTCGGTAAAATGCTAGTGTGTCCCCGGTACTACGGATGTTGTTTATGTCAGACCCACAGACAACCTCAGAAGCTTTACATATTTCCTTCGGGGCTGGGATATAATAATGTCCAATGTAAGTACAAATGTGTCCTGTTGCCCAGAGAAAAGTTTGTGTTAAATTTGATGTATTTGAAAATGGATGATTGTCTATCAAATATAGGCAGCATAATGAAATGGATATTATTTTGAATGTAAGGGATATTTATAAATTTTTGCTTTTTTCATTTCTGTCTTGTTTTTTGCTGGATGGTTAGAAATTTTGTTGAAATTTATGAGGGAATTAGGTTTTATTATACATCTTTTAATGCAAAAGGATGTGTATACTTTTATAAAAATTTTCATACACAGTTCTATTTCTTTTTTCAAAGAGAGGGATTACAAATGAGTTAATTAATCATCTCCTTCATTATCTATTTGATGTATTCATAATCCTTGCTCCTTATTGACTCATTGTAATGCCACATATATTTTTATCCTTCTGGGGATAAAATATAGAAGATTCCATATTTAGATATAATTAATGAAAAGTTATTTGATTTGAAATAAGATATGCAGTCATTTTGAAAATGATTTAGAAAACAATAATTCAGTGTGCAAATATGAGATGTTATAATACGGTATGAGGTGATTGGCTTCTTTGTTTCAAGACTATTCTAAAGAGACCTTATCCTAGTGCAGTGAATTGTCGATAATTGCCATACACAGTAAATATATCCTGCTGCACTACAGTCTAGACAAATCAGATGCATCACTGGGAAATCCTGTAATTGTAGTGGGACGGGATGAAACTGTTTAGATGTATTGGTCTTTTATTATCTGAAATTGTAAATATCAGAGAAGTCTTGGGATGTTTACTCTTTGTAGTCAGAATATTGGAAAGTAAAATTGAATGGTGTTTGGAATATGATCTAGATTTTCTCTTTCTTCACAGGCATTTTCATTTTGGCATGAAAAGAAATACATTCTGGAATAGTTCTTTTTACTATTGTACACATATGTCTCAATGATACTGCAGTTGTCTCAGAATTTTGTAGCTTAGGAGAATGACCTCAACCTTACAGTAAAAGATTATGGCATGCCCAATTTATTTCAATTCAAGTTTGCTAAAATTGTGAAACTGCTTTCCCTATGACCTTGACCTCGGATTTTCTTATTGTATGTTTGTATGTTTATATGTTTAAAAGTATCCATGAAAATGATCATGAGTGATTTGTATGTATCCTAGTTGTAACCTCAGTTATTTTATTTTACAGATAACAAAGAGAATATTTCTATTGTGGAATACAAGACACTACAGAAACAGCTGGATGAGAGAAATGCTGAGAGAGATGAGCTTTTGTTTACCATTAGAGTAAGGGGAACGTCATAGAAGACCTACCTATGCATGATTCTTCTAGCTTTTTGTCCAGTATCAGTGGAATCATGTTAATGGATTGTCCCTTTGAATATTACAAAACATGTATACTGATAATGTATTAGCAGTGTCCAAGGTCAAGTCCTCAAGGCTGACAGTTCAAAGATTCAGGACTAGTTATATCACTGGGATAGGACTGAGTGAAATAATTAATGTCCTTGTTAGTCTTTAGATATTGTCATACTTCATGAAGAGATACAAGAGACACAATAAAACATTTAAAAAGAAAAGCTAGAAATCTTTAAGAAATTCAGTAGCTAATCAAAAGTAAGCAGAAGGATATGTTATACAGTAGACAGACTCTCCATGGAGAGTCACAAAGCTTTGTAAATGATAGTGAATTGTTTTATCAGCTTAAAATACATATGCCATGTAAGGAGTTTTAACTCGGTTCCTGCAAATATGTAATGAAGAAATGTCATAGATATTTATTGTAGCAGTCTTTTCTTCAGTATTTAACCTAAATTGTTTTTAGAATTTGTCAGAGAAGAACAAAAAGTACAAAAATAAATTGGAAAAAGAGGAGATGACAAAGAGACAACAGATGAAGATTCTGTGTAAAACCCAGGAGATTAACTTAATGGAGAAGGATAAGCTGATTGGTAATCTACAGAGTCTGGTGGAGGACCAGGAAAACCGAATCCTGGAACTGGAGCAGTCCATCAATGGTAGGTACAACTGGTTCATACACAGACTGGTTCATGACCATATACTGTTTGGTTCATGTTCATGTACAGAATAGTTCAGGTAGAATAAGTGCATGAGTGCATGTTCATGTAGATTCCAATTCTTATGAAGTAAAGAAATGGTTCATGTTAAGAACTAGAGCATTCCATCAAAGTAAGGGCTGATTCATGTTTAGGACAAGTACTGGTTCAACAGGAATACTAGAACAGTTTATCAAGGAATAATTTTCAATACTTGTTCATGTAAATTAGAAGATTAAATGAATTTTCCAGTGGAAAACATTCATATGTCAGAGAACTGAAGCTATCCATTTGTGTTTAATACTATATAATATTTAAATGACTGGTTCATTTGAAGAGCTGGAACAATCTATCAGAGTTCATAGGAGTACTGATTCATGCAGAATACTTATGTAGACTACTGAAATAGTATTGGGGGTTATCATTTGAATGTTCTTGTAAAACGTTTGTGATCATAAAGGTTCTGCTAACAGAAAAGAACAAAATATGTTTCACTAAATGACAGAACTGTTCAACAGTTCATTAATTCATGTACAGTTGAGATTGTATCATGTTCATAGAGCACTAGTTCGTACTACCAGAAGTTCTTGAAGGTCCATAAACAATATTTATTGATGTGCACCAGTATTATGATGATGTGGTGTGTAACACACAGTAGTGTTGTTTGTCACAGGTAGATCTAGAGCAGTCCGTAGTCTTTAGTTAGCACCGGTTCATATTTCTTGAAAATTCTAAACATTTAGACCTACATCCCTTCCCCTTTCCTCCCCTCCCACACACACATACACAATATCTATCTTGGTAGATTTGTACGATCAACAACAATTCGATATTATCCAGTCAACATTTCAATTTCTCTTTATTAAAAATGACAAAGTCTAAAAGAAGTATATTTTATTAGATGATCTAATAATAACCTACATGTACATTCTTGTTCTATACACCTACACTCATGCACAGAGAAGTTGATATACACCTTTAAATATTAGGATTAATTGTAGATAGGAAATGTCAGCAATTTGTTAATAGAAGAAATCCTGTTATTGCCAATAGATGCATGAGGATGAAATAATGTCATTAATTGCAGGGAACACGAATCAGAAACTCCCTGGAAATGCTAATGGTGGTGCTAATTATAAACTGGTGGAGGACATAAAGCGACTCCACGAGGAGAAGGTCAACCTCACAAAGAGACTCGAGATGGTGCAGTCGGAGATGGAGACTCATTCCTGTACAAACGGGGTCAGCGATGACTCCAACAAAGAGATTATAGCTCAGCTGGAGAAAGAGAAAAAGGAGTTACAGGATGAGCTCAGCAAATACAACAAAAATAATTTGGTAAATTTATGAAGATGGAGAAGTTTTTCTTAGAGATAATCCAGATCAAGAAATGTACCTGTTTATTAAGGCAAAATTCATAAAGGCTTCAGAACTGTATTCAAAATTTAGAGCAAAGATAGGTCAGTGACTATTTGGTGCAATCATGAATAAGCACTCAGTATTTTTTTGAAGGATATAATTATATAATTAAAATTTAGCACTATTAATGAATATACACTCGAAGATTTGTGCCAAAATATGCACCCTGTTAAAATAGGTACATTTGTTTTTGCAAGGTATTTCCATTTTCATAACTTTTGAATAAGAGGAGATGGGTTTTCATATTTCGCACGTGCTTTATGTTTTACGTTCCCTTGACCTTGAAGTTTGACCTAATTTTCTGAAATGTTAACTTATTTTCTTTACATTTCTTACACATCAGCCTTCAGACACAGGGCCTTGTCACACAGATACAGAGAAACAGGTGGAGAAATTGCTGTCCCACAACAAGGAACTAGAGGAGGAAGTGCAGGAACTGAGGCAGTCCCAGGCCAGGTCCACTTCCTTGTTTGAGGAGGGGGTGAAAAAACAAAAGGTCAGATTCACACACAGGTTCCTCTTCCTAGACAAAGAATTGGAAAAAGATTCAAAAGAGTTGAATAAATTGTATGCATTAGCTTCTGTTATTAAATCAAATTTCCTCACATAATTTTTTTATTCATTTTTTTTCCTCATAAAAATTGTTTTTCTTCATGAAAAAAAAATGAAATATCAAACCAAGGGTTAAAAACAATCTTATGTAATTATTATTTAGTACGACTTTTGATGAATATGCCTGATTTTGATGATGTTCTTCAGTAGGGCAGTAAATATTTCAATTTTTATAGGATCTGGAAGATGAATTAAAGAGATACAGAGAAAAGTTCACCAGACTCAAGGAGAACTTACAGAAGAAAACTGAAGAGCTGAAGGAGAACGAAGTGAAACATCGAGAGCAGGTCACCAAACTGTCAGAGGAGAACCGTGTCACCTCCAAAAGAATGAGGGACCTCATGGTGGAGGTGACCCACCTACAGGCTAGGGAACCTGAGGTAAGGCAGAGGTGAATGTGGGTGTGAAAAATTGTCAGAACCAAAGGAACCTATGTAAAACCGGGAAACCTACTGGTGCAGGCAAGCCTATTACATAATATTTTCTTGGGCTTTAATATCTTGAGTTCCTCATAAGATACATTCCAAATCTCAGGTATTTGTTAGAAATTCACTGACAGAAAATTGTTAGGAAAGACAGTAAATTTAAAAAAAAATTTGGCTGAGTAAAAGGTTAAAAATCTTTTATACTCCGATGAGCATACTATAGGAATTTGTATGACTTTTGAGTTTTTAACTTTATGAAGTGAAGTTTATATTTAAGGTTTAAGTAAATTTTGACAGGTTGTCACCAAAATCAAAGTACAGGAAGTGGAGGTAGATTCCCAGAAGACTCTGGATGCCCTTAAAGCCTGTGAGGCCGAGAGAGAGGACTACCGTTGTAAGATGGAAGAGAGTCAGTCACAGCACTTGCACGTTGTTAGTCTACTGGAGAAGGAACAACACCTCACAGAGACACTATCAGAGGAGGTAGGATAGTGTTTATTGTGGTTTTTGGGGAGGGTTCTCTGTTTATTCATCAGAAGTGAAAGATGTAAGAAACGTAAGATAAAAGTACAGGTGGTTTGTGCTATTCTGTGGCCTTCTTTCAAAGTTCAAGGGAAGTTTTTTTGCATGCATTCTTTTGCATACATAGAATACTTTAAAAGAAAAAACAGACAACATGACAGGGTATTTAGTTCAAAATTTAATTTAAGGAGGAACAGGACCTTGAGCTGAAAAAAATCTAGTCAATGAATTTTTTTCATATTTTGTATATTTTTAATTTAGCATGTCCTACATATCTTAAAGCAATTCTTTCATCACAATTTTCTTGACTTGTTAAAGAGATATCGCCATACAAATATCGCTCTGTACAGTGTCTGTATTAAGTTTTGGTTCTTCGTGTTTACGGGTCCATTATTGAGTCTATAATGGGAATTTTTAAACACAAACAAAAAATATGTATAAGGACATGCAGCTCTTCAAATATTCAGAATATAAACATGATAAATAGTGTTTAGAATTCTTACGGCATTTTTTTCATATTTCACAATGCATGTGGACTGGATAAATTACGCACTTTTCAAGACAGCTTCAACGACAAAAAACGTACTTGGGAAAAAATTCTGTCACTAAATATTTTAAAATTTACGATTGAACTGAGGTCCTTCTTCGTAGTAATTAATTGTAGCAATATCGTAAGGTGATGCTTACCTCATTATCACTCAGGACATAGTTGAACAAGACATAAGTGTGGTAAAAACACTTCATGTTTACATTTTCTGAGTACTGGAAAACAACTGTGACATCACACGAAAACTTACACAAGTGAAATGGAATATTAAGATAATCTCTGCTACAAAACACTGAAAAATTATTATTGTAATTCCTGCTTCAAAACATTTATCACGATGCTTTGACTGTAATCTGTTTTAATGTTTTAAAACTGACCAGGTATTCAACGTGTACTTGATCTCTCTGCACTGAGAGATCATATATGATGTCACGGACATGTTAGACTGCAGCGTAAAGAAACAGAGGGGTGGATAAATCGATTTCACAATTTTTAAATATTTACCTGATCTTTTAAAATTCTTAAATATTTTACATAAAATGTTTAAGCTCAACAAGTTTAACAAAAATTATACAAATACAGGTGATTATAACAACGTTTAACATCAACATTAAAGGTGACTATGACGTAGTCAATTGAGTCATGTGACATGTGTCCTGTCTCCCCTTAATTTCATTTCATTTTTGTCTTGATAAGTGTTACTTTTTAATTTATACCCTGGTAAGTTTCATAATTCCAAAAAAAGATGATTTTCTGTGTTTTCAAGATATGATTCATCAATAAATAAATATATAGCAAAAAATAAATAAATAAATAAATAAATGAAATGATATGTGGTTAAAAATAAGGAATTTTTTGATATTTTTTCTACAAGAAGGCAAGGATAACCAGTTGTTATTCTTGGTTGCTTGAATTGGGATTTTGTTTTTAGGTCAATAAGCAGAAGGAGAAATTGATAAGTCTCGTCCAGGACACAGCAGAAAAACTAGAAGAAGCAGACAGAGCAAAAGAAGCAGCCATTCAAAGCACAAAAATGCAAATGGAGAGAAATCTTAAGCATTTGGAGGTAGATATGCTGAAACAAATACATGTAAAATACCTGATGCACTGTCTAGTTAAGCCCTTTTTTTGGGGTGCTACTACATCTTTTTTTTATAACTTGCTAGGAAAATTATGATCCAGTTATATGCATGCATACTAACAACTCAATATTAAGCTTGGTGATATATTCATGTTCTGTACATTTCAAATCATAATACGTGTATGTTTATATCTGTGTTATGTTTATTGTGTGTTTAATGTTTTGTTTACATAGCTTTGACACGCTGTTGTCTTGCGGACAGTGCGACGCACCATTTACATGTAGTTTGAGGCATCTTAGCGAATTGTTACCTATGCATATACAAGCTGCACACTCTAATAAGCTAATGATAATTTATTTTATTTTGACAGAATCAAACACACAACACAGATTATAATGGAATTAAGCATAATGACATGAGATTGCGCTAATTTCTTTATAGGAAGAAGTTTGTGCTAAAATTTGTTTGCATGAAAACCCCAGGCAATGCATTTGTGCTAAAACATGCTCTCTCATTTTTTTGTAAGGAGGTGTGCTGGTATTTAGACTTCACGTCAAACCAATTTACTTTTTACAACTTGCAGATTTTATTAATTTCTTTAGAATAGTTTATTTTGTTTTTGGTGACTGTTTTGACACATATTTTTTTTCCATATTACTTCAGTTGGCTAACTTTTGTAATGGTATATCCTCATTTTGGATGAAAAATGCTCAGCAATGGCAGGTTTGAGAATAAATGTTAACTTATCCAAAAATATCCCTCCAATGTAACTTTTACTAAAAACATTATTCCTCCAATGAAATAAAACATTTATACATAGCCAAAACGTGTTGTGCAAATGTTGATAAACAAACCTGTATAAATTAATATTTTCATTGTGCACATTTATAATATTTGTCAGTTTATTAATGAATATATATGTAAACTAAAAATCTACCATCACAACCTGAAAAGTGATCTGCATAAAGCACAATTAGAAAGAGAAAACCTCAACTAAAACATATTAAAATGACAAGTTAATTTTCTTTTTAATTTCTAAACAACTGGAAAACTCTTAATCAATAAGACAATGGTATTCAGATAAATTAGAGGAAATTCTGTGACATTTGTTTGATATTCAATAAAATATGAAAATGATGTTTTTATCATGTATAACATGTCTCGTAATATGAAATAATTTTTATATGACATTTTAACAAATTGTGATTCATATCTGATTTTGATTAGGGATAAAAATATTTAAATTGAAACTTTTTATGAATGTGTTGTCACATTATAAAGAGTAAAGTACTGTATACATGATTTTTTTTACCCCAAGTTATTTTTGCCCCTTCACAGTTGCTTAAATTCGCCCAGGCACAATTGCGTTGAAGATATAATGCAGTCTTCTTTTAATTCACGCCATTTTAAATTCGTCTATATGCAAGGAGAGCTAAAGTGGCTAAAATGAAATGGGGGCGGAAAATTTCCCTGCATACAGTATGATGTCGATAGAATTGATTTTTTTCATCTATTTTTAAAATATTTCTATATTTTTTATATTCCTAAAAGAATGGGTTATTTCTTCTTGTTTGTTTGTTTGGTACATCTTCAACTCTGATGGGAACTTTTAAAATATATAAGATAACTATTTCAAGGTCATATTCAAGGTTAAAAGGTCATATCTGTGTGTGGTTAAGGTAGTGCACATCTGTCCAGGTCAGAGGTCAAAGAAGTCTATCACATAGGACTTAGTCAGTGTTAAGACAACTTCATATATATATATATATATATATATATATAAACCATCATGATTTTAAAGAAAATATTTTAGGTTACTATTTATTTGTGAAAAATTTTCATTTCTACATTTCTTAGACTAAGTACAGACAGTTGTGTGAGCAGGTCTCCTTTATCCTCCCAGCCTACCAGGCGCTAGAGAAGTCCTACGTCCATCTAGAGGCTGAGTGTAGACAGTTCCCACAATTACTGCAGGCGGCCATTACTGATGTCAAGAATCAGGTAAAGTTGTAAGGCAGATATTTCTATTAGACTTGTTATGTACATAGAAGTGAAACTTCAAATATTTAATTCTCTTGGTTTTGTATTTAGTTTTGGTGGATACCTGTAGATTCATTAGAAAAGTATAACATCTATTGTTTTTACATCCATGATGAACCTCTCCCCTGTGACAATTTAAAAGTCAATACATGTACCCCAAATTTGGACTATTTGGACTATATTTGGGTTCCTTGATATTCAATCATGAATTCAAAAATAATTTGTAAAAGCTAAGCAAGAAAGATTTTACTTAAGTAATGAATATGTTTAAATTTGTAGATGTGCCGTGCAATAAGAAATATTGATGACTACAATAAAGACCTGGTCCGTCGATATCACAGAGAGATGCAGCTCAGGAAAAAATATCATAATGAACTGGTTGAACTGAAAGGTACCCTATGTTACATTAATGTTGTGGACACAAGAGTAGAGTTTTATGTTCTGTTTCGTCATGAGAAGTAAAAGGCATTTTTCCTGTACAGCATAGAGAATTTTTTTTTGATCACACAGACAGTGAATCTTGTCTGATCCTGATGCTGTGTATTCCAAAGTCTTGCATAATACAGTGAACTTAAAGCTCCTTTCAGTAATTTCAAATGTTGAAAATGTTGTCTAATCCGGCCAGATTAGACAAGTTTTAATGTAATACTTGTGTCAAAATATTCTTTTTTTGCTTGCCTTATTTTTTAAGTTATTATAGTTTGAGATGTACATGTAGTGCATGTTACAATTCTCTGTTTATAGGCAACATCAGAGTATTTTGTCGAGTACGTCCTAAAATAAAAGAAGATGGTGGAGGCATGATGGGAAATATTGTGGTGGATTATGACAGAGATGACAATGGGCTCATCTATGTGAACAACAAGGGGAGATCACAGAACTTTGAACTTGATCTAGTGTTCACTCCAGAGAGCACACAAGAACAGGTCTGACTTATTGGATATTGATGGTTTTGAAAGTTAGAGTGGACAGAAAAAAGGAATTATTTGCATAAAAATTATGAAGCTTTTGCATTTTTACTTTCGTATGTTTTCAGTAGATAATTATTTTTTGCTTTATATTAAGTCTGGATCATGTAAGTTTATATTTGTTCAAACTTTTCAGGTGTTTGAGGAGGTTCAATCCCTGGTGACATCCTGTATAGATGGTTACAATGTCTGTATTTTTGCCTACGGACAGACAGGCTCCGGAAAGACCTTCACCATGGAGGTAAGAGCTGAGGAAGCTTTCTACAACTCTGAAAGCAACCATGTGAACAAAAATTTAGAGATTGTTAAATGATATCTGGTATTTTCAGGGAGACAGAGAAAATCCTGGCATCAATCAGCGAGCCCTGGCCCTGTTATTTAAGGAGGTGGAGGGCCGTGGCCAGGACTGGGCATACACCATAACAGTCAGTGTGATGGAGATCTACAACGAGAAGATCAGGTAATGTCAGGATATCTTAAACTGGATGAATTTATGAAGTTCGTTATTTAACAGTTTATTTACAATCAAATATCATTATTGCAGAATGATTGGGGCTGGGAAAAAACTTAATCAAATTTCATGTGTTAGTTATCCTTAACTCTAAAAAGTAAGAAATGGTTTTAAAGAATGAAAAAAAAATACAGCATTTTTTAAATTTGAGGATCAATAAAAAAAGTTTTAATATACCTATTGTATTGTAGGGATCTGTTGAGTGATGATCCCTCTTACAAGATGGAGGTAAAGATGAATCCAGAGGGAGGGCTACATGTACCTGGCCTGTGTTCAGAAGAGGTCAGATCAGTAGATGATGTCAATCAGGTAAGGCTTGTGTATAACACAGATTCCAGTAACTGTAAATTTTACAAGATAACAATAAAGCAAGTTATTATGTTGTGTGCTTGCTTTGAAGGTGTTTGCTCTTGGCCAGAAGAATCGAGCTACTGCCACAACCAATATGAATGAGCATTCCTCTCGATCTCATGCTTTGCTGACAGTACAAGTCGTTGGTGTCAACAAAACCACTAATGTCAAAACTGTGGGTAAGTATTTTTATGCCCCGGGATCGAAAGATCCCGGGAGTATAATGTTTTTGTCCTGTCTGTCTGTTTGTCTGTTTATCTGTTTGTCTGTCTGTCTGTTGTCAACCTTAACCTTGCCCATAACTTTTGATTGGTTGGAGCTATGACTTTCATATTTCACATGTGTATTCCTTTTGACAAGATCTTTCTTTGGGTATCATCATATTTGACCTTGAACTTTGAGTTTGACCCACTTTTGCAAAATTTTATGAGACTTTAACCTTGGCCATAACTTCTGAACAGTTGGTGCTTGGGGTTTCAAACTTCACATGTGTATTCCTTGTGACAAGACCTTCCTCTGGATATCAACCTCTTAGACCCTTTGACCTTGACCTAGGAGTTTGACCTACTTTTGAAAAACTTTAACCTTGACCATAACTTTTGAATGGTTGATGCTAGGGCTTTCATACTTCACATATGTAATCCTTGTGACATCACTTTCCTTTGAATACCAATCACTTTGACCCTTTGACCTTGACATAGGAGTTTGACCTACTTTTGAAAAACTTAAACCTTGGCCATAATTTTTGAATGGTTGGTGCTAGGGCTTTCATACTTCACATATGTAATCCTTGTGACAAGACCTTTCTTTGGATACCAACCACTTTGACCCTTTGACCTTGACATAGGAGTTTGACCTACTTTCGAAAAACTTTAACCTTGGCCATTACTTTTGAATGGTTGGAGCTAGGGCTTTCACACTTTACATATGTAATCCTTGTGACAAGACCTTCCTTTGGATACCAACAACTTTGACCTTGACCTTGATGTTTTACTTACATTTTAAAAACTTTAACCTTTGCCATAACTTTTGAACAGTTGCAGCTAGGGCTTTCAAATTTAACATTTTTTATCTTTTGGCCTGGATTTTGACTTGCATTTGAGAAACTTTAACCTTCACCATTAGCTACCATACGGGGGCATCAGTGTTTCACAAACACATCTTGTTTCTTCATCATTTTCCATTCAACTTCTACATATTCTCAATGTTTTTCCCCCCAAAAATTAAAAGAGTTAAGGATGTTTGTTAAACAACATTATCATATTGAAATTTTTTTTTTTTTCCTAATTCAGAAATATTAAAAGAAAAATATTATTCACTAAGCATCACATTTGGTGGTTTGTAGGAAAATTAAACTTGGTAGACTTGGCAGGCTCTGAGCGAGTCAGTAAGTCAGGAGCAGATGGTACTCGACTTAAGGAGGCTCAGAACATCAACAAGTCACTCTCCTGTCTGGGGGATGTGATCCACGCTCTCCGAAGTAGACAAAGCCACGTGCCATACAGGAACTCAAAACTCACCTACCTGCTGCAAGACTCTCTTGGTAAGTCAGAAGTCTAATATATTTTATGTCCAAATGGAAATTTAGCTTTGTGTGTCTCCTGTTTTTTGGAATACTGCATTTACTTTTGCTGAGTTGTGTTGCTGTAAGGATCATCAAATATGAGTCATTTGTGATCGAATGTAGAAATGTGGAAAAGAAATCTGTCAAGTTGTAACTTACATATCACATTTTTATTTATCAGACATGCATGTACAGTGTACTCGTACCAAGTTTTCTACAGTTCTGTTGTATTTTTTCAGGTGGTGATAGTAAGACCTTGATGATTGTACAGATTGCTCCAGTAGAGAAAAACCTTGGAGAATCAGTGTGCAGTTTGAACTTTGCTCAGCGAGTTCGAACCGTCGAGCTGGGTCAAGCGAGCAGACAAGTGGTTCAAGCTGGAGATGAGGTACGCTCACATAAAAAGAGCTTGCATATAAAAAAGCACTATGCTCTATCTTCATTCTCCTTGAGCTGCTGATGTAGACAAAAGGACCCTTGTCAAATGCCACAGAGAGCTTTATGGGTATTATATGCAATTCTTGGTGTTGGCATGGTTGGGGATGGTTTAAAACGCATGTGAATTTTTCAAAGTTGACCAGATACTGTAACTTGTTCTTATCTTTCTCCATAATTTTAACATGTCTGAAGACTTGTTTGTAAAATCCATCCACCACAAACACACTTGTTTCTTTCCAGCACATTCATATACTGGGTTCTTCATCGGGTTTTTCATCATTCCACAATATGACAATTATTTGATGATAAAATGGTTAAAAGCTTCATAACTTTGATTCATTCTTATATGTGTGCTTGCATGTGTGAATTACAACAAAACTGACTTATGTTCCTTACTTACTTTGGTTGGAATCCATCACTTTGCACCTGTGCTACTTTATTTCAGAATTTACGTAATAAAGGATTTAAAAACAGTCCATAATGGTGAGAACTTCAATAAAAGTGTTGCATGTTGTTAATCTATCTACTTTGCTGACTCTTTTTGCTTTCTTTGCCTTGATCAGATTAGCATGTTTGTAGATGCTTAGAATTAGGACAAAACTTTTTAGTTTAAAGTTAAAATTTCTTTGTTCATTTCTACAACAGGGAATTTATTTTATTTTGAATTTTTTTTTTTTTGTAGAATATCTTTAATATTGTAGTTTTAGCTAGTGCTAATATGGTAAAAAATTACTCTGTAAGGCCTAAGAAAAAATTTTGTTTGTTTGCTATTTAACATAATATGAAAAATAATGTAGGATTTTGTTTTGATTTTTTCAATTTTTTTTTTTATAAAGGCCTAACTTTGAAATACACTTTTTATATGCCTGTCTTCAGATGGGACTAATTTTGGTATGGTATTCATGTCTGTCCATCTAATAGCTCTTTCCTGTCTGGCTCATTACTTAAAGGCCTAGAATAATCAGATACATTTTGGATTGAAGGTGTGTTTTACATTAAAAAAGGTCAAATATGACAAAACACTGTCCGGCTTGTAACTGGAAAACTATTAAGCCTAGAATCATAAAACTTGGCTAGTTACTGCACCTTAGGAAGAGGGTTTGTTGCACCCTACATTAAAATCACTGTTACCTTCAATTATTTGATATTTAAATTTAAAAAAAAAACTGTTTAAAGGGAGATAATCACTACAAATTTAAGAGTATTACAATAATCTTATTCAAACACATATATTTATTTGCTGTGATTTTTTACTAAGCCACCTATGAAATTGCTTTGAATGCCATATTCATGTATTATAGTCATGCATAGAAATATACATGGAGAATCGCATGTTATTATGACGCCACAATGACAGGAATGTTAAAAAAAAATACTGATATAGGGCAGCAAATAAATCAAATATTGACATTTGGGGGGGGGGGGGGGGGGGTTAAAGCTTTGAAATGTAAACATAAGGAATGTTTTTCAGATAGTGAATGTTATAGGTGTGTAAATCACACATAATTGCATGTAGGCATATTTTTGAAGCTCTCATTTTATACCATTAGTATCTTTTCTTTAGCCATCTACCTAATGGCTCTAAAACAGCTATTAATTGATAAGTGACCTTATGACCTATTAACCATTATGTTTGAATGAAAATATATACAAATGCAATTTCCAGATTTTACAAACAAAAATTTATATGTATATAAATCAATATATTTGGGTCCGGTGCATAAAAATTAGGGTCATTCAGGTAAACTTAAAACATATTTTTTTTCTTAGGCCTGAGCTTTGAATATTTTGTTTCAGTGAAGCTAATTTGCTACTTTATTTTCAAAATCTCCTTTAGAACATTGCACTTTAAAAATCAAGTTTTATTTGAAGAATGTTTGTGACTGTCTCTCACTCAAATTATTTGCAGCAAATGGTTGTAAAGCAGTCATTCAGCAGATTTGTGTGTTATAAATGGACACATATTTTGGCGTTGGATATGTTTTTAAATCATATCAATTGAAAAAATCACAAATAAAAAATCGTTTCATACAGTACATTTTTATATTTGCTGTTTAATTGGTTTGTTCATCATGATTACAGAGACTACACTTTTTAGCAAAATTGCTGTTGAGGAATAATATAATGTACATGTATCAAAATAGAAAAAAATAATAATTGACCTTGTTGAAGTCAATGCCAATAATTTTTTTTTCTCTACTGCAGACTAATGGAGTATCACCAAGTACCCCAAGCAGAACAACCTCTACACCCAGCAAAGCCCCCTCCACCCCCACCAGAACCATGAGTCTGAACACACCTACGGGTAGACAGCACACACCAGTCATAATGAACAGAACACCAAGCAGCTCCACTAAAGGGTCGTCACTTCGCTATCCCAAAAGACCAGATAAATGAAAGGTCTCGCAGATGGCCAAAAAAGACAGTATCAGTAGGAAGTTATGATTAATACATGAACATCATCAGAACATGACTACTGCAGACTGTGTTTAGAGAGATTTTAAACTTTATTTTTTCATTTAGCTTTAATTACTCGGCTACCTTGTTGAACCAGTTAAATTAACAGTGCTTAGGAAATTCATAAGCTGATGTTGCATGTGGTTATGTCCCTTTGTCGAACTATGTGATGAAGTATCTCAGGATATGCTAAATTCTTGCAATGTTTTCTTTTTTTAATCTTGGTGATATTTTCTAGTGCTTGTGCTATTATTATTATTATTTTTTTTAACAGCCCCATCCATACCCCCATTCCTTTCCTCAATCTTTAGTGACATAATACATGTATTTTTAATTTAATTCAAAGGAGTGTGCTCAGTCTGTCATTGCTGGCAAATTTTCTGAATGTTTGAAGACTTTCATTGCTGAATATTGGCTATCATCTTTGAAGATGGATTTGGCACTTAGTGCAATAACAAGGTGTTTTAAATTTTGTTTTTGATAATTAATTTGAATTTTGTATGTGTATGTTTTCTTAGTTGTAAATACTAGTAGTTAGTTTGTAATACCCAAACCATTATTGAATGTGTAATGATTTTATTTTCAAATTATGTGTCCTGTTTTTTTTTTATATGCATTTAGGAGTGTGCAATAAGTTTCTCTTTTCTTTTGCATGTATTAACTCAGAAAATTTTGTAAGCGATCTGCTTTATCCTCAACATGTAATTATAAGAGTTATGACCCTTTGTCTATTATGTTCATCATATCATAACATTGAATATATTTTTCAAAAAAACATTATCATTTAGTATCAGTATGTTTTATTTGATATCATTCTTGTGTACACAGGTACTCCAAAGTTAAATGTATCATTATGTATTATGTACATTTAATGAAATTTAAAATAGACTTGAAGGTTCTACATAATATGCTGCCTTTAAATGCTTACCAGAATGAGAATTTCCAGAATACCCTCATTATACACACAGATTATTGAATAGCATTATAGATGTTTAAGTGAGTTGTCATTAATACATATTATTATTAGTTTGAGTCTCAGCTGAAATATCTTGAAGTGTTTCCCTAGACCCATGATGTTCAATGTATTGCGGTTTGACTATATACATGTACAGTGTTTTTTCTAGTCCTCTTTTATTCTTATTTTGCTATAGCTCTGTGTATGGAAAGTGCCTTGACAGTTGTTGATGAAAATAATTATCATTGAGACTGATACAGATATAAATCATGATATAATGCAATAACACATCCCATTTGTGATACGTTTATATTTGAATATCAAGTGATATTGTGACTCTGTGTGATACCGTGATCTTTTTTATGTCGATAACATTGCTAACTTATGACTGCAGAATAAATCATGGATTATTCTATGATACATTACAACTAGGATTTTTCCATATAAATGATTCTCCCATACCACTTTCTTTTGTAATTTTTTTTATTAAATCTTGTAAGTATGATAAAAATATAATTGTATGTGTAAGGTATATCTGAAGAATATGTGGAAATTTCCATTCACAGGAATTTTAATACCCCTTTGTTTATTCAAATTTTTTTTAGGACCCTGCATTTTTTTACTGACCCAATAACTGAATTTTATTGAACCCTTGTGTTTTCATAATTTACATGTACACCAATATATTTTCTGCTTACTCAAAGGTCAAGGTCAAAATATTAAGGTTATCAATGTGAGTGCAATGCAGGGCCCTTCATGACTTAGTTTTCTAGTCTGAATCTCATCTCAACTTCAAAACGTTTCATGAAAAAGACTTCAGACCTTGTAGATATTTTAGTTATGAATGTTGGGAATTCCTGATTTGGGAGAGATTTTAGTGTGATAGATTAAAGGGGCAAGTAGGTGTTTGGTCACCACCAGGGGAACATTGTTTCAAAAATTCACGTTTTCTCTTTTGCTATGTGCCAAAGATTTTGTAACCATCTTAGGATTTCTGTACATAGAATTCTGTTGCTCACAGCTTTTTCATTTTTTGACAGACAAAGCTCATAAATTCAGCAGTCATAGGTTAATGGCTTACCTTCATTTTGTAAATTAGACTAAAAATTAAAAGCAAATGCAGTGAATTACTTTAAACTGCATTATAATTCTAATAAAAAAGAAAAGTATGAATGAAACTTATGTATGTAATGGATTGTTTAAATTCTTTTTCAATTGTTAAGGAGAACATCAATTAATGAAGTAGATATTACAAAGATCAGTTGATTATCTTCTGCAAATTCCACATTATGAAATCCTGATGTTTTTTTTATGGATTTTAAGTGATTTATTTTGGATCAGATTGTTTTCTGCATGTGAAGACGTCTTTATGTACATCTGCAGAGGAAAGGGATATTTTTGTTCAACATCTTTCTGATAACTTCTGTTTCATTTATAAAATACCTCCTTCAACATATGGAGGTGATTAAATAAATTTTCAAAAAATTACCCTCACAAATTTGTTTATTTTCATTGCATGCTGCAGCAGAGATCTTTGTACTTATGTACCATCCTTGGCTTTAAGCACAAGATTTTGCAACTTTCTTTGAATATTTCCAGATCATGACTGAAGAAGATTTATACTGAAATAAGTAAAATATGGAATTCATTTTAAATAGAAAGAATCTCTTAAAGATCAAAGGAAGTGAAATCCTGACGTAAACTAGATGCCACTGTGTTGGTGTGATAGTGGAAAGCTGCAAATTGAGTATGTTTCTGAATGGTATTTGCTTCAGGATATTCTCATACATGTTTCAAGTAATGCAAAACAATTAACTACTACAATAAAACATGCTTATAGTGAACACACTTTTAATGAATTGACGGTTATAGCGAAGTGATTTTTTATTCCCAGTGACTTTAAAATATCATGTAAACTTAATGGATATAACGAATTATGCTTATAATGAAGCAAAATCATTCATCCTTTGCACTTTGTTATAAGTGTGTTTTACTGTACACAATTGGTAATACAGCCTTTCAGATCACCTTGTTGCAGAGATACAACACATTCTAGCATTAGTCCTACCTATTACTCTTGACCTTGTTCAAATGACCTTAGTTCAGGGTCAAGCCACATTCTCAGGTTATAAGCAACCACTTTTTTTTAAAATTTCACTTCTGATAATCTTCCTCTACATAGCTATGGACTTGAATATATTACTACTTTCAATCCTCGCAATCAAAAGCTTGTCCAAAGTACCTAGTTTTGGATTAGATCGACACACCTTTGAACATCAGACATGATGTATGTCTCTCTAATAATTTTTTATTCGTGAAACCTTTATATTCACATAATTATGCAAGAAATTTTATGAAAATTTCATTTTCGCATACCATATATTTTTATTATTAAGGATTATATTCCAAAATAATCAAAATTCATGAAAGTTATGTCTCATTAAGAAATATCTTTGACTTTCTTGTGAAAAAAAGGTGATACAAAAAATTGGTGATCTACAGTATTTAATAGAAAGGTATGGCCCATACAAAATTTGCTAAATGGTTATCAAATTCAAGATGTGTTTTGACTTCCATCCTCTCAGCGACAAATGGACTCAGGGCCCCTGACATTGAAAGGATGTCTGGATTCAGATATTCACAGCAAAATGTCAGAAAACTGCTCTATGTTTCCCAACATTTCCGACAGCAAGGAGCTATGTTCTCCACTTTGAATTTAGAATTGAGTTTTTCATCACAGTATCTTTCATTTTTCTTTTTAAAGAAGTGGACCAGAAATGTTAATTCCAAAAGAGGTGCAATAAATTTGAAATCCTAGCAGTTTGATTTACCAAAGGAAAAAAAGCAATTGACTAAAATACCATAAGAATACAGAATGCGATACCCAACTTTTATTTTGCAATTGCCATAGCCAGTTTTCTATTACCTTATTTAGTACAAAGTAAATGCCTTTCCTAGCAATGGTCTATGAAGTCTGTCAAAAATGAAAAGTAGCCTTTTCTGCTAATTATGATTGAATACACTACACACTTGTTCAAAATGGATAATTTTTGGTAGCTCTTTTTTCATAATTGTGTGTTTTGCTGTAACCAGTATCTGTTTTCATCAATACCTGCCAAGTAGAAAAATTGCAAAGCAAGATAATCCAATCTTGCTCTCTTTAACATAGTGACAGCACCATACCATGCAACGTACCATAATTAATGAGAATTCATTGCAAATTGGTGAAATCTTTACACAGAACTGAACAGATAACATCATATGTCATTAAGGGTGAGTGACTTCAAGAATTAGATTGATCGTCTGCTTCTAAGTTAACTCCCCTTGTAAACAGACAACTCAAAAACAGGTGATTTGGCAGAATTTCTGCTCATTTCCATGATGATCATGATGAAAATATATCTAAAAATTCATGTATATGCTTTAAATTGCTTTACGTATTAAGAGGAAGAATGTATGTTCTACAAAATAATCATTTATTTGTAATCAATGTGCTTTCATCCCTTAGTTTTTATTTTTATGTCCCCTATATTTATTGGATAAGGAATAATACCGCTGTCAGATTAAATAGAGGGAAGTTATCTTTTCAGTAAACTATCCATCCTCAAGATGTCTTGAAAAGTTGTGAATGGATTGAGAAGATTTGATTTTTAGCTCTTCTGAGGCAGTTCAAAAAGCTAAAGCTTTGGCCATTTGTACAATGTGCGTAAATTTCTGTATATGGGCCGAGAACCCCTTGGCCAATTTTTGTCAAAGAGTATCCTTGGTCCAAGGACTTTCCATTATATTTAAAATAAGGATGTGACCCTTAAACAAGGGAAGATAATTAGGGAATAAAAACAAAAGTAGTGCTTGCTAAAAAATCTAATTATCAACAAACACGGGGCAAATTATGACCAAATTTATGCATAAGGATGAGGATATATTGAAGATTAAAATTTGTTCAAGGCATCACCCTGGGGCAAATGGGGGTGGTCTTAAGGTCACTTCATTATGTTTTGTTAAAATGTTGATATTTTGTCCACTATAAGGACTAGGATCATCAAATCTTGTCAGTTGATACATTTTTGGACCTCATGTCATGTTGACTCAAAAGTAGTTCATGGTGACCTACTTTTTTGAATTTTGCAGGTATTCTTTTCAATTTGATTTTGATGCATATCATGGACACTTTGAAGCATGTGATCATCAAAACTGCCAGTTTATGCATCATGGGGGCTTGAAGTTTGTCAACCAAAAAGTAGCTAGGTCACCCTGACCTACTTTCTGAATTTTATGGCTAATCATTTTCAAAACATTTAAGGTCATTATTTTGGATACTGGGAGGGTTAGAATCATAAAGCCTTTTTAAAAGTTGATGCATCTCATGGCCTTGACACTTAAATATCAAAAAGTAGGTCAGAGTAACTTACTTTTTAAATTTTCATATTGTTTTAGAGGCATTACTAATGTAGGATACTTTGAAGCCTGTGTCAACCAAAAAGTAGGTCACCATAACCTACTTTTAGAATTTCAGGGCTATATTTAAATATTTCAGATTCTAATTGGCTTAGAATCATCAAACAGTCATTTGTTGCATCTTGGGTTGTCGGAGTATGTAAACCAACAAGAGGCCCATGGGCTACATTGCTCATCCGAGCACTTGGGTTAGAGATAGGCAATAATCTGTTCACTACTAGAAAGTTTAAATATATTAAGTAGTCCCACTCTAACCCTGACTGATGATTTGAACAAACTTCCATCCTGGGGTGAAAATTTCTTGTCTTAAGAAAAAAAAATGAGTTTGTGGGGATTTGATTTCGTGGATGAAGAATTGTTGAGTAGTTATACATTTGAAATTTTACATTTCATGGTGGACGTGAATTCATGGGTCTCTTCATACCTCAAAAACAATGAAAATTAAACCCCTCACAAAAGTTAGTGATTTCATATTATTGTAAAATTTGTCCCTTGCATTACATTGATGGAAGAGCCCTAGAAAACTGGTTCTATAACTAGTTTAATGTTTCATAAAAAGTAAAAGAAAAAATATTCAATGCATGTAAATACAATATACCCTCATACCATTTACAAACTAAAAAAAAACTTTCCTTCATTTTATCATTTTACATTTAAAAGCAACAAAAAAAGCACTTGGAATTTAAATTCCTACTATATCATATTTTTACCCTTGTTGTGATGTCACAAAATTGGGAGTTCCTTCATTTCTATTAATTTTGACCACCAAGTCAATAATTTGGACACAACCTAGAAGTGTAAGGTATTTTAAAATGACTGATTTAGTGATTATGGTCTTGTTATGTTTGACAAGATGATTTTACAGATTTTCCTATTTTGCCCCCATATTATGGCCCTATTCTAGCCCCAATTTTGAACTTAAAACTATACTAGATGTGGAAATTGTCACTTAATTTTGTCTTTTCTGTCTCCCTAACTGGTTCAAGGGCATTTTAAATACCCCCCCCCCCCAATATTTCCCTATTTCTTATTATTCCCCTAGAAGAGGATTTGGCTTTTCCTTTTGTAACAGGGAGAAAAAAATGCAACAGACCTGACCAGAATTCAAACCAGGGCCCCCTGAATCACTAGTCAGGTGCTCTACCAACTGAGCTATCTGGCTACTGGTGATAGAACCTACCTGACTGCCAAACTTTTTCCTCCTTGAAGGTCTTTACCCCTGAAGACAATAACCCAGGCTCTTTTTTGGCAGGACTTTTCACATGTCATTCCAGATCCTGGTCACAGCACTAAATGCAACAGGAAGGGAGAAAAATGTGACTGACCAGACCAGGATTTGAACCCAGAACCCCTGAATCACTAGTTAGGTGCTCTTCCAGCTCTGCACTATCTAACTATCAGTGAAAAAACCTGCCTGACTGCCACACACCTCTCTACTTTGAAGTCTTTGCCCCAAAAGACACTTATCCTGACTCTTCCTTGGCAGGTCTGTCATCTGTTACTTCCAGGCCATGACACAGCACCAAATGTAACAGGAAAGAAAAATGCAACAGACCATAACAGGATTCCTACCCAGGCCCCCTGAATCACTAGTCAAGTGCTCAACTAGGCTTTCTAGGACACACTTCAATATTCCCTTTTACTCAGGGATGCTTTGTGACAAGTTTGGTTGAAAATGATCCAGTGGTTCTAGAGAAGAAGTAATGTAAAAAAAATTTCAGACCACATAGAAAGACAAATGTCAAATACTAGCTCTTTTACCAAAATACAGCACCTGATCAAGAATCACAAAACCTTTAATGTTTTCATGTTTTATTATCTTTTTACAACAGTCTGTACCCCTTCAGAACAAATGGGTATTTATGCAACAGTCTGGATATCTTGATTTAAATGCAGTTAGTTGTACAAATTGTTTACACACATATCTATTGGGCATTATATCCCAAGTTAGCTTTTGTTGAAATAAGAAAGTTTTGACAAATACAATGTACCTAAATTCATTTTATATATTATTCTTCAAATCTAAGTATAGGAATCATTAATTTTTAAAATAAAAATGAGAGAAACATGATTTTTGAATCAGTCAATATAACTGTATTCACACCTATTTTATTTTTATAATTTACAAGAAAATTAACAGAACTTTGGTATGGGACTTAAAAGTAATATCTAGCTGACTTCAAGGGAGCTAGTTCACGACTGTTGCGTGATTTTTTTTTCAGTGCTATCGATCTTGAAATCATTGACTACAATGTGATTTTAAAAAAAAACTTTCAAAAAACAATAACAACACTTGACAGAACATGTGTGAAAATTGGGCCAGGCAAGGAGTTCTCTAATCTACTGATGAACAACAAATAAATAAACCTGCTGAAAATTAATGCTTCATAATGAGAAAATTAAAACAAACAATACACATGGTAATAAATATATAATGCAACAGATTGATTGTCATGCAAATTAACTGGATCTAGTCTCCAGCTAAGTGGATAAAAAAAAGGAACTAAAATATTAAATTCCAGAAATATCAATAAATATTGAAGGTTCAAAAATAGGAATTAGAATTATATTAAAATCCAGAAATATCAAAATACTGAATTTCCTAGTTTACATAAAAATACTCAGATTCAGTTATTTAAATTAAATATTTAAAAAAAATAATAATAATCATATAGAAACAAAATTATGAAAAATAAGTAAAATTTAAATCCAATTCCAAAAGACAAGTCATAAATATATGGCATATTACATATGTAAAAATACATGTAATAGTTCTAAAAATGATTTAAACGTTAAACTTTTTCATAATAACATTTAAAACAGGATCACAACACTCAAGAGTTAATTGTAAAAAATATACTGTTTCCTTACAACTTTTGTACTCGGGTACAAGGATAAAAAAACAAACTTAAATCAATAATAAACATTCTTCTAAAAGGGATTCTTGCAATTCACAATTGCTACGGATAAATGCATTATGTAGATAAAATTCATTCTCATATAAATCTTGATCATCAATATGTTTTGTTTTACATCAAAGCACATGGATTTCACATTATCTCTGCCTTCACAGAAGGTTGATATAAATATGTTTAATAAATAAAAACAACGAAAAAAAAAGGGGGGGGACCAAGGGAGTCAAAAGGGGAGCAGGGAGACAGGTAGACATGTGCAATGAATGAGATGAATATAATACCTGTCTCAACATTTATGTTTCAAAGACTTTTATTTTTATTGTGAATGAAATTTAACTATCAAAATGAAAATTTCTGTCAATGGCATTTATGTTTCCTTAACTGCATGATGTTGAAACTCATGTTTATCTAGAAAACTAAAAACAATTAGCTTGTACCGGTAAATCTTTACCGAGGAGATAAAAGAAATCTTCTGTAGGTTTCAGGACATGCATCTTTTACAATTGTGATTCAATATCAAATGTAACCCAGAATTTTTGTACAAATCTTGATTACTGGGAATGCCTTTATGTGACTTAAATCAACCTTTTTTCTAATCTCAATAGGAAAAGCTGCCCTTAATTCATTTATTAAATATTAATCCAAATTAAAATTTGACTCTCAAATGCAGAATTTTTCTTTTTAAAATATATCAGCTACTTAATTTGTGGAAAAGGTATCATTGCAATTTGCATGTACCGGAAAAACCAACAATTTTCGTTGACAAATCAAGTGGCTTTAAGTAGTAAAGTCTGCTTGATATGATTAATTAAAAAAGCATTTCTTGGTAAACTGTGGTAAGAAACTTGAAAAAAAAAATGCAACATTTTCTAATCAATATCATGTTCATCTTCAACAACTCTGGTTGAAAAGTTTACACATTAATGAAAACATATACCGGCCTATTCTTTATAGATCGATGTACATGTACAACCTTCTGTAAGAAAAAAGTAAATAATTTGTATCTTATAACAACTTCTTGGAAGTGTATTAATAGATAATAAATTGCTAAAAATAACCAATGTATGTACAAATTTAGAAAAAAAAATCAGAAAATGCCTTGCTTGTGCGACTGTGAAAAAAAGAGAGTTGAAAATCAACTTTCATTAATTCTAATGATATTGGCATAAACATAACAGTACATATGGTCATTTATTTTAAAATGTTGAAATAAGGATATGGTTTCTAAAAGGGACAATTATGACACTGTTTCTGAACACACTACAAATTCAATTTAAAAATTACATAATCATTGTATGTGCTACACAAATATCTCCTGAGATCATAATATTTCTGTCAATTTACAAGTCTACGAGACTATAAATCTCTAAAATTTAGTAGCTATAGGTCACATGGCATCCACATCACAATTTCACATTCTCCTAATCAAATAATAGCTCATTTATATCACAGCAATAAAACACATTCAAATTGCTGCACGAAACCTAGACATTTACACTTTGTCTAGTATCAATCATTCTTAGCAACTGCAAAAGCAAATGCCCTGCAAGTTCAAGTGTCCATATAGCACTGCAATAAGTCATTTTTCCATTTCTGCCATTTTCCCCACAATTCACTCCACTATATATATCCCACAATTCCTTTTTCCATATGTCTTTCTCTGCTATAGGTTGATGGGCAGTGCAATCTTGTCTGTGCCTTGAGAGTAGGTGACACTTGTGCTATTATTAGATCGCGTGGACTTTCCCGAGCGGGAGCTTGTCGGCGTGTACGATCGGTGGTGGGAGGGAGGCTGTGAATGAGAGTGAGACTGTGAGGAATAAGCACTTCCTGAATTGTGAGTGTTAGCTACTAAAACATCACGAGTAAAAGCAGCGGTGTACAGCGCTGTACCATGCTGAGCGGTAGGGTGGTATACGGGTTGCATGGGGAAGTAACCCTGATGCGTGTGTGGAAATTCGCTATATTCCCGACTAGGAGGATATGAAGAGTTACATGTGCTTTGACCTACAAAGAAAAGGCAAAAATATTCAAAGCTGTGTTAGTATTCACAACAATGCCAAACTCAGAGGCTCTCATTGCATATAAACTTTATAATGATTAAGCTTATTGTAATTATATAGTTTCGCATGTGCCCATAGGTACTCATGCACCCGATTGAAATTTAAAAATCATTCAAGCCTTCATCATTTAGGTAGCCATGCAACTGCAATCAAAGCATTATTGCAAAACAGAATAATAAATCCTTGAATACGCTTTTTTTTTTAAACATTTAATTCATATTGTATTTTTACTATCATTATATAAAGCAATGTATACACAATGCAAATATTGATTATTGGAAGCTAAATTGCAATTACTAACTCACTTTTAATCTAAACTCATACTCAATATTGCAGTAGATCATGAGAATTTGCTCAAAATGCAAACATTATGTCAACACATGAACATGCATTTACAAATAATCAAATTTGTTTGTTAAGAGGCCTAAAATACTAAATACAAAACCAATCATTTTCTAGGGGTTTTGCTATTTAAACAGATGTTTTTTGTACCTCTCAATGATATGCACTATTTTATTTCACAGCATTCAACTTGGTAAATATTATGAAAAGCTGTTTTTCGCGTAACTATTTTGAATTAAGTCTGAGGTATTAAATCTAACAATATTGCTCTGAAAGATGTGCTTTTTTTTTCATTTATGTCAGAACTGTCGCAAAATTTAACACTTTGTTAATTAATGAGAGGATTAAATTTCTAAAAGCATGGTCCTCAGGGCTATTAACTATCAGAATTTAATGCAATCAGATATGCCACAAGCAAGTGCAATTTTTATAAGATACTAGAAATTTAATCTTTTTAATCACTATTGGGATCAATTTTTTGTGCCACATTTTTAAAGCAAGTTTCAAAGGAAATGGTAAGGCAAACCAATAGTTCTTGCCCCAATAAATGTATACTGCCAACCTGACACTCTAGAATTTTAGACAAAAAAATAATGTCAGGAAGATCTGAATTGACTTTTCAAAGTCACTATCATGAAGGTTATCTTTTGCTTTCATTTTTAAATCCCCACTCTTTAATCAGTTAATCCTCCGCCTAATCTCCTAACATTTTTGCAACAACTGGGTATTTTCTTTTGTCTGTAGTTGGCATGTTATTTATCATTTCTGAAGTATCAATACAAACTCTGATGAACCCAATACCTTTGGCAGGTGAAAGAAGCAAGAGGTCTGCAGAAACCTTACTCCATCCAATATACTGATATTTTTAAGAATCTAGGAAGTTCCTCCTTAACCTTTTCATCAATGAACATCATTTTTGATCTGTAGCAGATTCTGGCCACTACTTGTCCCTAGTTACAAACAATGTCTATCCTCTACATATATCACTCTCGATACCTGCTTTCTGGCCAAAATGTTGTTGGGTTTAAAAGGTTTAGGGGATTTTGAAAAGATTTTCCTTAGTACATGTTGTAATATCTTTTTATATGTAATAGAAGTGAACTTTATGGAAAAATATAAATTCTGAAGATTTCAAAGCACCTACTGTTACGTCAGTTTTAAAATTTGAGGATTCAATAAGTATTGGTACTTTATTTAAAAAAAACTAGAGTGTTCCAAGGAACTCTGGTGTCAGCTGCTTTCTAGCATCACTAAAGATGCAACTAAATCTTATAGTAGTCCGCTACTTGTTACTAGCATTAAAGTGCTTGCATTTACCAGCCAACCCATTTTTTTTTTTTAAAAAATCCATGGAAATTAAGACTGCATGTACTGTGATAGAATCAGAAATATGATTCCCCCACCCTCAGAGCTTAAATATATTACAAGATTAAAATCATTAAAAATAATAATTTATCGTTTTATAATGTGTTGAATGCAACAATCCTCCACAAGAGATTTCAGACTGTCTTTACTGCAATTGTCAGTCTACAACCTAGCTGCAGAACTGTAGAGCTATGGTTTTATATTTTAGTCTTTGACCATAACAGATCCTGTAATGCAAATATGGTGCAATTAACGGCACAAGATTTTCTGCGCATTTTGGGAAATTATTTCTCCATTTTCCAGCATTGGACAATCTGCTACTTTTATTCCCTAATTCTAGACATATTCTATTACCAACCTGTATATTTTATTCACCTCCTGACCCTTTACAATCGTCTCTACAGACCAAAAAACTTGCTTGTTTTGAATTTTCTGCCATTCGACAAAAAATTCAAAACAAGAGAGTTTATTGGTTATGAGAGATGACTATAAAGGGTTTAGGAGGTGGATGAAATATACTGGTTGGTAATAGAATATGTCTAGAATTAGGGAATGAAAGGTATTTTCATGGTCCAATGCTGGAAAGCAGAGAAATACATCCCCAAAGTGCGCAGAAAACCTTGCACTGTAAATTGCACCATATTTGCATTACGGGATCTGTAGCGTTATGGTCAAAGACTAAAATATAAAACCATAACACTACAGTTCTGCAGCTATCTACAATTATCCACTTTGGTATACTGATCCCAATTTATTTTCATAATATTCAAATTTCAGTCCGTGTGTATACATTTTTCAAAGTACAGTATCATAAGCTCATAAACGTGATATAAATGCTAATTGTCAAAACCTGCCTCTAAAAATTCAAAACATGCAAGTTAAATTAACTGTTCAAAGTATGTTTGCAAAGTAGGTCAAAGGTCAAGGTCAAAGTGATCTGTAACGCTGATATTTTTCATAATATTTTATGACAAACTGTGCAAATGCTAAATAGCATAAACTTACCTCTAAAATATCAAAAATATATCAGCACTATGAAACATTTTGAAAAGTAGGTCAAAGGTCAAGTTTAAGGGTCATGAAGTTGGTAACCATGGTAATTTACAAAAGTCCTAGCGGAAAACAATATATGTGCAAAATATCAAATCCATACATCTTACAGTTCAAAAAATATAGAGTGACAGACGGACAGTTAGACAGACAGACAGATGCCAGGTAAAGTGATCCCTTTGTGTCGCTCTGCTCTGCAGGTGACACAAAAACTTTAAAGCCATCTCTTAGGGCTTTCACTAGACTTTAAAGGTTTTTTTTTATATATTGTCCTCTGAACCACCCTATCCCTTTTATCTTGCAAAGATTTAATTATCCCCAGAGATTTTTGTTCTCTGTTTATTTCCATATTATCTTTCTTCAACATGTATAGTTTAGCAATGACAGATGATTTTGCTAGTAGAGGTTTGATTTTCATTACCAACAAGAAAATCAGAAGAAATCCATGCTACATTAGTAATTATGTTCATTATACAAGTTGATGACCTTGGTTGTAAGATTCTGTGGAGTTCCACAGGAAGCAAAGAACCTATTAATCTCTCTTGTTCATGTTCAAACTGATCCCTCTAAGGGATCAAGTTCATTTAGTTTTCATCAGATATCAGTTTCCATTACTCTATTCTGTAATTAAAGTTTATCTGACTGAAGATGCTGATTGCTTAATCTTAATTAGCAGGACATTATTTGATGGAGATAAAGTGGATTACATCACAATTTTCTAAGAAACAGGATCAGCTCCATACTTTATCACGAATCCATTACCAAGAAAGCAATTTATAAATATGATTAGAAAATCTTCAATTATGAATGTCTAGTTACAACTACATGTTTATAACACTGAGAAAAAAAGTTGAAACAGTTATTTGGTCCTTACTTTGATTATAGGGTGGAACCCCATTTGCTGCCAAATTGTTGGGGGCAGCATTATGTGGTGAATTAGTGGTGCCCTCTGGGGGCGGTTTACAAAATACTTTTTTACAACAGCAGACAGCAGCGACGATGCAGACGATAAGTACGATGAGACTTCCTACAGTTATTGTCACTGAGGCCGTAACTCCGAGGGCTAAAAATCGGTTGAGAAATGAGCCATCTGAAACAACACAAAAATATATCTGGTTTTAAATATATAAACAATGAGGGGCTTAGGACCCCCAACAAATCTCTAATTCCTGGTGAAAAGGATAAATAAATAAAGGCTAATGCGAGACTGCACCTGATTATACAGATACAATATAACAGCCTCTGCTTAAACCTTTTTAGATACTGTATCTGATTTCAGTAGTACTTTAGTCATATTTAAATGAAAATTTTTTTTATAAAAAATAAGTGCAGACTATGAATGTCACAGTGTTCAGATCTGATGTGTTTTCTTATTTTAAAAAATGTCAAATTTTCATTGCATTTCAAATGCAGATTTTAAAAAATGCTTATTTTTCTCCCAAACAGCTAGGTAAAACGTAACATGTAAGTGAAAAGGGTTTTATTTCTGCCTGTAATTAATGTAAAATTGCTCGTCTTATCTTGCAAATTCCATTAGACATGTACATCCTGTTGGATGTATAGAGTAATCTTTTAACACTTACAATTATTTTTAATATGAATCATGCCAGTATAATCATAACATCCACTATCTTAATCAAATGGGGTTTTGGACAAATTCACCGTCAATCCATATGTTTCTGAAACCTTCTGAAAATTGTAGTTCCATCAACAATATCCATGTCAGCTTGTTTGCTTTTCCTACTTCAAAGAATAATTATATCTACCCAAAGGCACCAAATACCAATATTTCCTGATCAAAGAAACAAGATCAAATTCAGGCACCTTGATATTAATATAAGATGAGCAAGGATAAATTATATGCATAGGAAGCATCAAATTACCTTCTGAAAAACAATGAAATATCCTGGAAATAATTTGCCATTTGCAAAGTTATGATCTACTTCCATGATAGTACTTTTTTGATTTTGCTTTTTAAAAAAAAAAAAAAAAATTGTATATTTTGTGGTCTGGTTTGCTAAATGGCTTAACATCTAAATCTTCTCTCAATAAAGCTGATGCTTTCATTTGCTATCCGCCTCTAATCTGCTCCAATATGATATCAGGTGCATTTATGAGATACTGGTGTGAGATATGTCCCTCTAATTCCACTCTCAGCAGACCTATTTAATTAGTTTTTTGTCTGCCATGTCTTGTTAAGATAAAGTTATGGTGGTCAGCTGGAGAGAATAGCTGATTATGAAGTCGGTTGTATGAGAACGGATGCTCTTGGACTATTGGTACTCTATATCAAGTCTATTAATGATGAGCATATAGTCTGAAATCATCACATGTTAGTAAGTAAATCTAAATTTTAAAAATCTTTTAATCTGAGAGACATTTTATTCTAATCATCAACATCTGATATTAAAATTTTCAAATACTAAACTGTGACTGTCTGAAATTTAGATACTGTAAACACTTTAATTAAACCATTAATTAAACTAATAAACATTTTATATATTAGTTTATTAAATATGGTATCTAATGCATCTAAGTCAAACAATATTATTTTATATACAACTGCATATGATTAAAATGATTGTGTTTATTTAGTATGGGATGAAAAAAGTTCAATTTGATGATTCTATCAGAAAATAAACTTCCTGGCCTTTGAAATAGAGTTCAACCGAGAGAAACCAGTGCAAAATTGAACTTAAAGACAAGAATGATAAATGAATACACCAAAATAATCATTTATAAAATACATCACCCACTTACTTAACTGTCATTGAAAAATATGCCCAGAAACATCTTATCGTAAACAAGGAAGCTTCCTTTCACCAAAAAAAAAAAAAAAAAAAAAAAAGCCAAAATTTGGATTGGGATAAAGGATTAGACTTGATGACCTGATAAAATGTCCCTATAATCTTGATATATGACAGAAATCACAGGAACAACATGCAGTCCTGATGTAAACAAGCTTTGCTCTCTATCACTTTTTCTCTTGATTCTCACCGAAGATAAAAACAATGAACTAAAACATTGTCTGGCACCAGTCTCTGTGTTATGTAGATGTCAGTGATTATAGAATTGTATGGAGACCTAAATTCTCTGATTTCGGATTAGAGAGGGTGATCTGTTTTAAACCATTCCCAGTTACTGTGATTATTTTCTTTAGATTTGTGTTAAGATCCATGAAATTTACTCTTTATTTCCAAATAAAAACTTGTTTTTCTATTTACAAACTAAACTTTCACATATATATATACGAGGGGTGATCAAAAAGTTCGCGAACTATCTCTATATTTTCAAAACCACAATTCAGATCAGAATGAAATTTGGCACACATATAGTCATACATGTGTTCTATATACAGCAGTTTTATGTAATGTTTTGCTCCATGTTTGTGACGTCACAATTCGAAAATGACGTCATTAGGTAGGTTACTTGTGACAAAAAATGACTGACTCAGTCGTACTCGAGCAACGAACGGCTGTAAAGTTTAATGTGTATCTTGGAAATTCCTTTGCAGTAGAATATAATACTTTGTATAAAGTTTATGAAGACAAAAGACTTGCCAGGAGTTCAATCATTAATTGGATTGATTGTTTTAGTGAAAGAAGGGATATGGTTAAAAATGATGTTTGTTCTCTTGCCCAGTGAAGCAAGCTGGGGAAGAGATGTGTCCTCAGTTGAGCAATTTGATAAGAAAGACCGCCAAATTACAGTTAGAAAAATAGTTGAATATCTTAACAATAATACAGCTATTAAATCCCTAAAATATCGTTTACTTAAGACTTTAATCATATCAGATATGATAAATAGAAGGCGCCATGCCTTATATCCACATTGGATAAACGACGCTCCCAAGACAGAAGACTTGGGTTGTGATGGTCACCTGCTCATTCCCGGAAAGGATATCCTTATCCACCCATCCTATTGCCGAGATTTGGCCATTTTTGACAAGCTGACTGTTTTTGTTATAAAAATAACTTGCATGGTAAGAAATATAAGACTCGGAAAAATCTTTACATCTTGTGAATGGAACGCTTCGGAGCATGTCACGTGACCGCCTGTATCACGTGATTCGCGCGTGGGCAGAACAGCGGCAGATGTGCATTAAATCGGAGAGGACTGCTTTAAAAAATAATGAACACAAAAAAACTAATTTTATTCTTTTATGGAAGTTATTCAATTAGCTCGCGAACTTTTTGATCACCCCTCGTACATTATCCTTGAAATCCCCAAATATCTAAATTCTATTTTACAATGGTGGTAGCTCTTGGGAACAAATAAAATCTTTTCTCTTAATTCGTGCAAGCAAAAATACTGCAACAAATTGTCTTTCACTTTTGAAAAAATATTGTGAAATACTTTTACTATTAATGAAATAAAACAAATGTAAAAATAACGATATTTTATTTCTAAAAGTTTTTTTTTCCCAGGTTAACAGTTATGTACATCTTCATGTTTATCACAAAAGAGAGATGAATTTAATGCTACAAATCTAATCCATGTATTGTTGAATACAATTCATGGCCAGATAATCTGATGACAATACCCAATGACTACAAAATAATTTTTTCCAAAAAAAAAAAAAAAAGATTCTTTAGTCTTTTACATGTAGCTCTATAAAACCTCTGTACTATCAGTAGAAATGCTTAGAATGTATCAGAATTGCTCTTTCTGGGTTTTGACTGCTAGAATACCTTTCATTGTTGTTGTTTGACTAATTGAAGGAAGAGAGCCAAAAGATGCCAATTATCGATAAAAAAATGTGACCACCTTGAACATTAATTGATATAAACCTAAAATCTAGCCAAAATATATTCAGTATTATCTAGGCAATGTCCAAAATGTGTGTGGTTTGGTAAACATCAGCGTGTTTGCTATATTAATAACACAGTACCAGATAATGGCTTCAGCCATTATAATCCTGGTAACGGCACCAAAATTTATCATACAATGAAACAACTATTTCTCCCTTCAAAATTAACTCATATAAAAATATGATAAAAGTATGAATTACTAAAAAAAAAACTGGAGTAAGTGACACATAATTATAAATAAAATGTTAATTATGTTAAGTTAAATGTAAAAATTTAGACAATTTTTTTTCAACTTACCATCTTTGACGCCACACTGAGCAAACCCCTCCATTGCCTCGTCAGAGTTGTCACCGCAGTGATCCACTTTGTCACACTTGAGGTCTTCATCTATACAATATCTGTTAGCACACTGGAAGTGTGTGCCACAGGAATTATATTTTTGAAAATCTGAAGTAAAGAAAAAAGGATTTTAGTTATCACTGCAAAAATTTTATGCATAGTCAGAAAATATATTTGTTTAAAAAGAGCATTTTATCAACTTCTTCCAATCAAGTTCATCATACAGTTTTACTAATTTTAACAAACTGTCCACAATCTCAAACTTCCTAAAATCATTGTCATACATCAACATAACTTTTTCTTTTAAAAGCATTTTCAGGTAAATATGAAATTTAAAGGTTGTCATGTTAAAAAAAAAAAATCTACTAAGATTGGATTTGATCATGACATTGAACCATAAATCATTTGATGAACAATTGGTTAATTCTTCATTGATCGACTTTTTTTAACAAGCTGCTGGTGTCATTTGATATAGTGTCTATATTACTCTACCAATTATCATCCATGATAATTATCTTGATTGAATTATGGTAGGAACACAAGAAATATCAATTTATTGACTCTTTTTTTGAAAATACATAGAGCTTGTGTTGGATTGAACTGCCTTCCAGTCAATAGCGCGTTCTGTAGGATTAGGTAAATTATTGTCAAGAGTGACAAACTCTTCAGGTGTAATTGTTTGAAATGATAAGTTCCACATCAGTCACATGATAGAAAGACAGCGAGAGACAGAGAGAGAGAGAAAGAAAGAGACCTTGTGAAAGATTCAATCTATATACTTCACATAATTCACTTAAGTAGCCCCTATCAGCTTTTGACAGACTTACATAATGCAATAAATAAAATACCAATCTGAGAAAAGTAAAACACTGCCATTACCACCAGATACATTCAAGACAAGATGAATGTCTTTGTCTATAAAATGATCCTAATCACTTTTCCAAAGACATGCAAAACAAACATCAAGACAGTTCTGACCTTGAAAATACCCTGACAATGAAACTTGTCCTATGTTACTTCCAGGCTTTATGTTAGTTGTGTTGTCTAATATTCCCCAGGATTTGGTTTTTAAGAATTAGCTGTTCATAAAATTGATGATTCATCTACTAAAATGCAGCCAGATTATCAATGCTGGACCACAAAAGACCGGACTTGATTAGACCTTAATAAGCTATCAATGAGCAGTAAACATGACAAGAAAATGAATACAAGAGGTTTCGATAATTTTTTCAATATATCCAGAACAAATAGGCATGGATAAACTGTTACAACTACAAGAATTCAGTGTGTTACCATAGGATTAGTCTGACAACAAGAAATAAGTATGATAACGTAGTGGGCTAGATTTTTGACGAAAAAAAAATTAGAAAAAATATTTTTATCATATTGTCCAATAAAATCCAATAAATTTAAAAGAATTCCATGCAGCTTTTCATAGTAGTCTGCTTCTGAATGTCATGCACCTGTCTTTGAAAAGATGGCCCCAGTCTCCTGGTGCCCATTGGAACAATTTTTACTTCAAAGTCAGACAGTTAAACCACCCATGGGAACAAATTGTCATAGGAACATGGAAGCAAGCCATCATAACTAAAGGTTGACCAGTTTCTCTGGGTAATTCTTTTCCAGGGAGGATAATTGTCCTTAAGTGTTGACATTCTTCAATGTGAAATATTATTGATTCTTCGAACTCAATTACGAAGAAGACATTGCTTCCCAAAATGTTTCAATTGCAGGAATTTTATTGTTATTCTATATACACTTTCAGATGTTCAAATTTTTCTGACAATGAACATTGAGATAATTTTCCTGCAATGTGTTGAAAAAAAAAACAACAAAATTAAACCTAGCTTGTTTAAACTTATGTGACTTAAACTTGCACACAAAAGTTCTGTTCATGTTTTAAACTCTATTTTCCACTACATTTACTTCTTCTAATAAAGCAAACTTCTGTTTTGAATTCAATACAGCTGTTTCCATTACATGAATAATATCTTGTGTTAATTTCAGCTCCCATTATCACATGTAAGAATGGCATCTTCATAAATCATCAACTTTAATTGTTATTCAAAAGCACTGCATGACAGTGCAACAATTCTGCACGAAACAAAAGCAACACAAAACCTCATGCAACCAGGCACTAAAAAGACTCAACTAAACAATATATATATTCACAAGGAAAGAAAAGTCAATCATTAGCTACCCAGAGCAAAAAGCTCTATTCATAGTTTTGTCAATATGCCTAATTACTGAGCAATGCATCTCTGGATCTGTAGTAGATAATTATCTGGAAACCCTTTACTACTCAATGGTAAAAACATTACTACTGCGACTCAAATGTTATACAAGATTTCCCTTGTAATTTGCAGTCAGAAATCTTCCAAGATCCCCACGTTCAGGCACCTAGGTCATTTATTTCTAATTGGGTAATTGTTCTAAAACAGCAGATTTGCCACTACAAAACATGGGAACAGTTCAGTACAGGCATACTCACATATACCAAGGGATATATGGGAGCAAATGCTCTCAATCATGGTATAAGTGGATAAAATTGTACAGATTTTTAGTGTTCCATCTAGATGGAACTGAACATTCTTTCCCACTGATTAATAGCATCCAGACCAAGGGGAGTTTTATTTCAATTGATAAAGGATTCCACCATTTATCTGTCCAAACTGTTGGGTATTTGATTGTCTGTAAATGGTATATTACAGTCTGCTGATGTTTTACGACATTTCCACTGTAGACAATTTCCTCAAAATGAAAGACTACAGCTTGTACAATACTTGGATGAAATGAAGCAATGACTTAATAATGGCTCGTAAGGACCCGTTGCCAAATCGACCATTAAAACAAGCAGGCGGGCAGGAAAAACTGTGACGATCAAAAAAACTTGAAGAAGATGTATAACTAAATACCCTTGAACTTCTCAGGAGCTGGAGATAAGGAAAATAATACACCTGTCATTCTCCTAGCAGTTTATAAATCAACCAGTTAAAGTGGTAAAGTTTGGAGCCCATAATCACCAAATCACTGAATCCTTGTTTTGTCTCATGATAAGAGAAAAAAAAATATAAAAGATTTCAAAAGTTGTCACTTTCACAGGATTTCAAAGAGAAACAATCTTTAAATGAACATTAAAATCTTGCAATGTTGCAATGACAATCTCAATTCATATCACACTTCGGCTCTCTTTACAGGAAGACATAGGAAACTTCTTCCAGCATGGTGAAACAGTCTTGACAGTTTGTATATTTTATTGCAGAAATACAGGAGCCAAGCTGAAAAAGGTTAACTATTCTGACACAGTGATAACATGTTTCATCACTCTATCTCGCAACCAAATGATGGATTACTCAAAATCCCCTATCATACCTTGTTGTTTTTTCACCTCCAACTGTTTTATGATGAAGAATGATCAAAGGGGAATAGGGGTTTAATAGTTTCCCTTCCAGTCTAAGGAATGTGATCCCTTAACACAGAAAACAGACCTCAACATATTGTATGTAGCTCAATCTTAAAAATCGAACAACTGAATGGTTCATTGAGACTTATCTGCTTAGAATGAGTTTATGTACAGAAGAAAAATTTGTATTACATAGACACACACAAGTACAAATTACAATATCATTCACTCAAAACATCTTCAAATCCTTCCCCCTAACATTTAAATTACATGTAAACATTCACTTGCTAAATAAATAACATCTTTGATACTTTGATGATAATGAAAACAACAAAATTCAATCAAGCTTGCCTAATCATTTCCTATTCATCAACCAAAGGCCCATCCTCACTGACCACTTGATGCAGACCAAGAGCAACAAGAAAATGTTTCCATGGAGAAACAACCATAATTGCCCTTAATTCAGTGTTTGCATACTCTTGAACTCCAATTTCCTCCACCATTTTCTTTTATTAGACATTTCCACTAATTAATTCCCTCTGCATTTAGGGGATGTCAAACAGGAGTGGGGGGATGAATAAAGACAACATTTGAAATCAGCAGGTGGAATCCTTTTACAAGGTCCTTTTGTCATATTAACCTATCAAATATCCACAACAAGACAGCTAAGAATTCAGGGGGAAAGCTGCGGATTTCAAAGGTGAGAGACAATGGTGACCCATACCCTGATCACAGAGGATAATTGGTCATCCAATATCAATGGCAATAGCTATAATGAGTCTCTATTAGGGACCATAAAAGGAAGGAAACCTTGTATTACAGATTAGTACTGGGAAGAATTTACATACGATTTTCATGTATTTCATATAATTACAGTTATATCAGGAATGTGGATGTATCATTTGTGTAAAAAGAGGCCCAGGAGCCACATCGCTCACCTGAGCACTGTGGCTAGGAAACAAGCAAAAATCAGTTTAGTATTGAAAAGCTTAAATGCATAAGTGGTCCCGACCTGCCCCTATAAGGGAGGGGGGGGGTATGATTTGAACAAAATTGAATCTACACTAACTAAGGATGCTTACATATATTTTGACTGTGACCTTTTTGAACTTTCACTGTGGCCCCACCCTACCCCCAGGGGGGTCATGATTTGAACAAACTTGAATCTACACTATCTGAGGATGCTTCCAAATAAATATAAATCATGGCTTTGCTGTTCTTGAGAAGAAGATTTTTAAAGATTTTTCCTATATTTTCCTAAATAAAACTTTGATCGTCCATTGTGACCCCACCCTATCCCCAGGGGGTCATGATTTGAACAAACTTGATTCTACACCACCTGAGGATGCTTGCATATAAATATGACCAATCATAGCTTTGCTGTTCTTGAGAAAAAGATTTTTGAAGATTTTTCCTATATACTCATATGTAAAACTCTGATCGTCCATTGTGGTCCCACCCTTCCTCTGGGGGTCATGATTTTAACAAACTTGAATCTACTTTACCTGAGGATGCTTTCACATTAATATGACCAATCATTGCATTGCTGTTCTTGAGAAGAAGATTTTTAACGATTTTTTCCTATAAATTCCTATGTAAAACTTTGATCGTCCACTGTGGCCCCACCCTACCCCATGGGGTCATGATTTTAACAAACTTGAATCTACTTTACCTGAGGATGCTTTCACATTAATATGACTAATCATTGCTTTGCTGTTCTTGAGAAGAAGATTTTTAAATAATTAATTTTTCACTAATACTAAATTATCTCCCCTTGGAGGAGGGTGTGACCCTTCATTTGAACAAACTTGAATCCCCTTCACCCAAGGATACTCTGTGCCAAGTTTGGTTGAAATTGGCCCAGTAGTTCTGGAGAAGACTGAAGATGAAAATGTGAAAAGTTAACAACACCAACGACGACAGACAACGGATCAGAAAAGCCTTCAACTCAGGTGAGCTAAAAAAAAACCCAGCAATTTGTAATACAATGCACTGACAACATTTTGTTATTTTTCTAAAACTTTGCAGAATTTCACTTTTCATACATGACTATCTTCATTGCTGTACATGACAAAGCTATCATAATACGAGACAATAAGATCAGCCTTGCCCAAAAATGTCTCTGATGAGACTGTGTAGTTCTTGATTCAATTCATATCATTGCACAGATACCATTTCTTTTTGAGTTTTACATTAATTTACAGAATTTTGTGACATCTTTTCTAAACTAGACCATTACCAACTTTAATACAAATAAGACCAAAACTAAAGAAGGCAGAGAAAATTTAGCAGAGGAATAAGTCTTAAGTAACCACTGTACCATTTGATAGACATAATTATGCACATTTGTGAATCAAGTTTTCATGAATTGCACTAAACATGTAGGGGAGTAGAACCATGGCATTTAACCATCACAAAAAATCAAAAATAAATAAACAGAATTTCATATTTTGGTACAGTTTACTTGCCTACCAAATTTCAATGAAATTAGAACAAAACCATAGGAGATGTAGCTGCTAAGCATTTTGAAAAATTGCTTTAAGACAGCCTAAAAGATAGGCAGTAAGAGGTACAACTGACACCTTAATAAATGCATATATAACCCCTTCTGGCTTTTTACCAAAAGAGCTAAAAAAAAAATGACTACTGTATATATGATACAAACCTTGAAGCAATGATGTTTTAAAAAAGTGAATACATTATCTAAGAATTTGTTTTATTTTTATAAGATTTTTAAAATTCTTTCAGGTTGCTAGAAAGGAAAAGATTTTTTTCTGAAGCATTCACTTTACAGTATTTTGTGGCAATCATGAAATAATTTTTTTTTCTTACTGTATATACCTTCACTAAATGCTGTAACTATGAATTTGAAACCCCTTCCAATTTCTCTTCTTTTTAAATCTCCATTTTTGTTGGTCCTAAAAAAGAAAAACAAACAACATAAGTACAATGTAATCTGTAATGTATTTTAAAGTGTTGCCATTGCATTACTGAAAGCAACAGATGTAAGAAAACCACAAAACTGTTTTAATTATCAGTTCTTTTCAACACACACAGGGTGATGGTAATAAAAGTCATATTAAGGTGTTGCCAGTGCAACTCTTCAGTAATAGGAGTTACATTTATGACATCTCTGATAGAATTACCCAGCATGAGTGGTATCAGTTAAAAGATAATAGAACTAGTTCTTTGAAAGTCAAATACATTATATACTTGCTTCTTTATGATTTCCTCTTTGTCTCTTGACAAAGTATTATTATATAAGTTTTCTGGAGATTTCTCCATCCCACTTTTTAGATATAGTTTTACATTACCACTGACAATAAAGGAAAGGTCTTAAAACTGGTAAGCTATTGACCCCAAAAGTCAAAGAACTAAACTCAAAACTCTTCAACTACCTGTACCAAGGGTGCTCTCTGAACACATCTGTAGCATGCCTGTGTACTGAAGTTAAAGTCATTAAAAAGAGTCAATACAAGATATTTCAGTTTGCTTTGAGTATAAGAACTAGCTCTCACATCTCAAAGATCACCTAAGAATTAAAACGTTCCTAACCTCATACCATAGACAGGGATTTTTTTAGGGTCTCTCCGGGGCCGAAATTCGGCCCCATTCCCAATGCTGAAAAGTGCATGTTTTTCCCAAAATCATACCTAAAAATTCCCAATATGAAAAGAAGTATCAAGTTGTAAATTATTAAAATAAAATACTGACAAAAAGGTGTTTATGTTCTCTATGTGCGATGTACGAGCCATCCGAGGACTTCCGAGAAGTTATTCGGAATACTATGGATGTTTGCATGCATACTTTTTAAAGCGGGATTGATGTTTAAAAATTAAAGTCGGGATCGTTATCTAAAAAATAAACGTGCATCATGTCAGTCTCTCCAGTTTGCCTAGGACGGTAATTTTCAGGCTGGGTTGAATCGCTCTTATTCTTATAATTTGGTCAAACAATACCGATTAACCACTCATCTGGAACAAACCCACTATCAAATATTATTTTAAAGAACTTCTTACATAAAGGTAAAAAAGAAGACAACGTTTAAATATTGTAACGAAACCGAGGGTATAAGGTTATTACTTAATCAGTTAATCGTGGGCCGCTGTTGGTTACTGGTAACTGGTCAAGGTTGAAATGGTTATCCACAAAGTTTATATACAATCGGAATAATGACCAATTTTTGGTCCACTGAATAATTGGCGAAATGACCAATTTTTAGTTCACTATAATATCTGCACTAGAACCGTGACGAATAACACGTTGTAAAGTTATGATATTTATTAAGACGATCAAATGGTTCAATTATAAGCACAATGATAAACCTGGTTGGTACAACGTTATTTGGTTAATACAAAGATGACGAACCAATGGTCAATCCAGGACGTTTCTACTCTGAATGACTCTTCACTAATGATTTCGTATACATAGACTTGGTACTGTTTGTACATACCACTGTCTTACACCCGAAGTATACGGAGTCGCAACCCAATGCAGACTGACTTCTAAACACAAAACAGCTGTCTTTTATAGACAAAAGTTGTTATGATGACGTATAAACGTCAGATACCAATAACGTCACAATCAATATCTAATTTGTAAGTTAGCGGGTTTTGACCACTAAAATTACTTAATAACGTTGTACCTATATAGAACATATACAACATAACGCTTTGTAATTACAATACATAAATCAAATTGATAAAGTTCAAATAATAAATCATTGTTCAATTCTTTCGTTCATTGTTCATTGACATATATTTTAGTAGTTTATATACATCGGGTTCAGGGTCCGTTTATTCGGAACTTGTCAACAACAGTTAATCCAAATTTCACAATTGTTACGTTCCGATAAGTTTACCTGTGAAATTTGTATACTTCGGGTGTAAGACAGTGGTATGTACAAACAGTACCAAGTCTATGTATACGAAATCATTAGTGAAGAGTCATTCAGAGTAGAAACGTCCTGGATTGACCATTGGTTCGTCATCTTTGTATTAACCAAATAACGTTGTACCAACCAGATTTATCATTGTGCTTATAATTGAACCATTTGATCGTCTTAATAAATATCATAACTTTACAACGTGTTATTCGTCACGGTTCTAGTGTAGATATTATAGTGAACTAAAAATTGGTCATTTCGCCAATTATTCAGTGGACCAAAAATTGGTCATTATTCCGATTGTATATAAACTTCGTGGATAACCATTTCAACCTTGACCAGTTACCAGTAACCAACAGCGGCCCACGATTAACTGATTAAGTAATAACCTTATACCCTCGGTTTCGTTACAATATGTTCATTTACAATGTTATCATATCCTGCGGCTTTGCCATTTTTAAGCTTCTGAACTTCAACAGCCGCTATTATTTCATATCACTAAAGCTGGTTTAAGCCAGCTTCATACTATAAAAAATAAGAAAAATGATTAAATATTTGACTTTGCTTGTTTTTTCATATTTATTTGTATGAAGATATTTTTCCCAATTTCAACCAAATATCGCTATTTTTCCCAATCTTGACAGCCCCGGCCCCTGGAATCAAGGGGTAAAAAAATCCCTGATAGAATTAATTTCTCATGCTACTGATAGTAAAATTTTGTCAAAATGGTGAAATTCAACAGACATCAAAATAGCCTTGACAATTCTGCATCAGTTAATTCTTCGGAGTTGTTAAAATTATTATGAGGATTCCAATCATTAATGGTTGGTATTGTGCCTTTTTGTGCAAATAGACAGTATGTTTAGAAAAAACATCTTCTCTAATAGGTCACCATTTTTAAAAGTTAGCCTTCAAATAATAAGGCTAAGCTTAAGCTCTAGTAATGCTCTCACAAAATATCACTCTGACTAAATAATCTGAAAACCAACAAAATTCATTGGGTACAAATGAAAGCAACCAGAATCAGATACTATACATGAACATTATTCTCTGTGGATTAATTTAAAGACAACAAAAGCAATCCAAGAAAAATGTGTACTTTTCTATCCATGGATTGAACCGAAATTTTGATTCTGTGGAATTATGAGAATGCAGACCTCGTGGGATAAATCATGTTTACAGTATTAAACCATTCTAGCAGAAAAGGTACTGATATCTATCTATATATATATATATATATATATATATATATATATATATATATATATATATATATATATATTATATATATATATAGGTATCATCTGAAAAAAAGAGATGTATCAAACCTAGTGTCAGCATATCACATATACTGCCAAAATGTTCAAACAAATTAAGATGGCTTCAAAACCAATACCAAAAGACATTCTCTCCACTCATCAAAAACAAGATAGCAGCATGATTTAATTACAAAAACCACATAAAAGTCACTGTTAGCTCCTTTTTGCCTCAGCTTTCCTTGTAACCTGTCAAAAGCTCATAATTGTCTCCTGGAAGACTAATAGCAAGGATTCACATAACTGTCTATGGAGATCAACTAATTGACTCTTCCCTGTCACAGAAGTCAGCAGACATATACTGACTGATCTAGAGAACATAGCTTATAGTGATAATGTGGATATCAAAGCAAAACGCCAATGGAAGGAAACGCAGCCATGAAGCTGATGGGCATTCATCATATTTTTTCCTGTGTGCATGTCAAGAGTCATTACTCAATATTAAATGGTTGTTCCAGGATTAATTATTTATCTCATGCCAAAGTCTTCGGAGATGGGTTAATTCTCTCCTTGTTGAACTTCTTTCCAGGCACAATGCCTGCAGAGACTTTAAATGACCAAAAGTGTGAAGATGAGAATTGATGCAGAAAGCAGTTTACTTTTAAATTAGCTTTGAGCTTTAAAAAAATTGTATTAAGCCTTTTGATATGTAGGACTTTCCAAGACTTCCTTTAGGGTCAAAGTGTTGGTGAGCAAAACAATTCAAAATTTAAAAATATTCCTCATTGAATACCGTATATACTCGCCTATAAGTCGGTCCGCCTATAAGTCGTTTGTGTTTTTTAAGTTTAAATAGAGGGATTGACCTGCTAAAATACCAATATTTTTATAACTCACGTATAAGTTGGATATAGAGTTTTGTACCAAAGTTTAACTCCCAAAAAAAACGACTTAAAGGCGAGTATATACGGTACTTCTATCTCTGATTCCTTTTAACCCTGAACCCTAACCCTTGCTTTCTATACATGTTAAAATAAAATTTATATTTTTTGTGCAATTGAAAAAAAAAAGCAATTCTGATCCATTGATTATCTGTCTAACTTTCAAAACTGCCAACACAGACTGGAAATAAAATATTTTAAGAGTGTGTGCTACATCTTTTATGCTCAAGAACAGTTGCATAACCCCTCAGGTTTGCTCATGTTTTTGCTATTTATTGCTCCATGTATATTTTTATTTTTACAAGTGCCTGGAAGTTAGTGTGACATAAAAGAAAGTCCTCAAACCGTCAGGATAAAAAAGAGTTGATTCCATCAAAAACTAACACATTTTAACATCATTTATAGTCATCAAGAGAGACAGAAATATTTATACAATCAAGCCTTACCAAAAAATAAACTCAGGTTGGAGAGGAATTGAGAGAAATGTTAACAAGAGCATTGCAACTTATGATTTCAAATGAGCACATCAAAGAGACTCCCCTCTGAAACACTTAGTTTTGTTTGCCATTGCCATTAGCTGTAATTCTGCAATCACTAAGCATCCTAAGAGAAGACTCAGTGGATTCTTATGTTTTTCATTGAGACCTGAAGTAGGGGTAAAAAAACAACTGAGTAAATGTTCTCTCCCTGGAACTGTGTGACCTTAACGTTTCTGCCTGCTGTTCACTAATGCACTTTGTATCAATTTTTTACAGAGCTTTCAGGGGTCTCAATGATCCTTACCTTTCTTTTGTACATGGTCAAAATTATGCCAGAAATTTGAAAGAAATGCAAAGAAGATACTGCAAGTCACCCAGGATACCATTTCTATGGTGCCATGCCACTGGGCATAACTGTTAACAAGATCATTTAACATTATGGCTTATGATTCTGAATGAACACATCAAAGAGACTCCCCCTGTTTTTTTTTGTGCATTGTAGAATAGTTTCCACATGACCATTGTCACACCTCATAAAAGAATAAATATTTTCAAATGAGTCTGAAGCAGATTGTACCAAATAATTCAGTAAAATAAACCATCTTTTTAATATCAGCTTATTTTCTTTTTCACTGATTTAGATCACAAAAAATAATGATACATTATCTACTAGCTGTCATACTTTTACCATTTTTGCAGTAGTTTAACCTATAGGCATTAGATGAATGCTGAAAAATATGAGGCAGCTGTATTCCACTGAGGACAGGGTTTTGAGATCAAATCACATTTTGAATAAAACTTACATACATATATGCACAATTTTCACCTAAGCTAAATGTGTTTTCTGTTTACATGAACCTGTCTTGTTCCTATGACCAGATTGAGAGACAACATTATTCGCAAGGTGGGCAGGTGTATCTTAATGCATTTTACACATTGCTAAAGAGGTCTGCAAATAAAAACCCTCTAAGACTGACACCCATGGAAAATAACTGCAAAAATACAATGCAAACATTTACCCAACTCCAATGCACACACCATAAAAATACCCCACATTCCCTTCCTTATCGATGTAGAGTTTCTAAATATTAATCTTTTATCAATTTGTCAATGAATAAACTCTCCTCATTCTTGGTAATTTGTCTTGCAGGATTGTGATTTCAAAGGTTGTCCGCTGACAAATTGGAGTCTTCTGTCAACAAAGCTGTCACTATAAAACAGTATTGATCAGGGATAAAATGGTGTTGCATGGGTTAACAAGTTTCACATTCAGGTGCAAGGAGATCTCAAGTACCAGCAAATCTTTGTCAACAAACCCACAAAATTAAAATCATCACAACTGTATTCAAACTGGGGTTTCGAATTCAAATTTATGTACACTGATTCAACATACAAGAAATTACATTTCCTCAAATATTCCATTCTAGAAATCCTATTTTGCTGTACTGTTCAAATATTACAATTTTATCAGAACAATTGAATGGAAATTAGATTTTTGAAATGAGATAAAGTAATTCTGAGTATTGCACAAGAAATTAAGCACATTAATATTTAGTTAATAAAAGAACCCATAATCCTTGTGTTGCAGACTGTGTCATCAAGTACACGAAAATTTCAGGCTGTCTGGGTCTGAAGCTATGAGCATTGTATTCGGTAGAAAGTGTTGACAATCAATTTTTTTCTTTCAATCAAGTTGTAGCCTTACAAACTCTTGGACAATAAATTACAGCGTATTATAGTTAATAACTGATTCACCCTCATATTGATTCAGAAAAACCAGTCAACATTTTGGTGAGGAAGTGTAAAGCACAAAGACCCATGATTTACAAACTGTGTCTTCCACAACTAGCACAAACTATTAGAGATCTATGCAAATGTGCCTTGTCGATGTGATGACCAATGTTGCTATTGGCAAACACGCATGTTTACACCCTACGCTTGGTTTAGCCAAATCTTGGAGTGGTGTAGAGAGGATTGATGTCAGAGAAACACTTGACCTTGAGAAAAATGGAAACCTGAGAGAAGCCCGGGCCTCATCACTATTACATCAGGTGTTGGCAATGTTGACCAACATGAGGTTAATATGACCTTCAACTCTTTTTAGAATCACCCCCAAACCCTTTTTTGTTATTGCTGTATCTTCAAAGCTTCACTCTTGAGGTGAATTCCTACAAACCCCAACCAGTATTTATACTATCATTGCCAATATTTCTAGGGTCTGTAACAATCAATATGGATGTTTAATGCCATCCTCTGAAAAATCACCTCTCAAATGATACAAATAATTGGACAGAATCCATCAGTTGAGCTTGTCAAGACTAATATTTTTTTACTTTTCTAAATAATAAACATTTAATGTAGAAATCTTGTTTTTTGAAAAATAAAATTGATTGATACAACTCCCAGGAAGGTAGGAGCAGCCATGTTATAAGAATCTTCACCTCACTCAGTACATACCAAAGAGAGTTCATTGAGGGAACAAGATGGTAATTGAGGCTGCAAATTAAGATACCTAGAGCAGCTCGAGGTGAGGCTAGCTTTGTAGTTTGAAATAATGATCACCTGCCTGATCACAAGCTTATTATCCAGTTTGTCTCTCTCGAATTTGTCTGTCAATGGACAGAGAGAAAAAAAAATGAAGTGATGTAAACCTGTCACACAATGTCTCTTCCTTTTTTTATAAGGCTCAATGAAATCTCTATCTTGTTGGGCCCTCTCATTAAAATCCAACAGTTTTATTGATTTTTGTGGGTTTGGGAACAATTTTTATTGCACAACTTCCTTAGATGCATAAAAATGTGTGTAATATGAAAAGAAAATATCATAATAACTTGTATCTGATCTAATCTTGTGTGATATTGAACATGCATACACAATTCTAATTTTTTGCATGTAGTTTTTCCAGACAATTACATCAGATTGTGTCCTGAACTTCAATGAAATAACTTTATGAAATATCATTATAATGACCAATTATAACTTGAATAAATATGTCAATTTTTTTTCTTTTTTTTTTTTTTTTGCAAGGGGCCTGAAAATCTGAACAAACACCGCTTCAGATGTCATCTCCAATGATTAGAAAACAAAAAGACACCTGTAAAAATTACGCAACAATCTACAGAAACATCTACCCTCTGCTCGCATTCTGTGACTAACCCTCCAAAACTACTGCTTATTTTTTTCTTCATTTAAAACCAAACCAGACCTGAATCTAGCAGCAGACAATAAATCAAAATTTCTGCACAGACAAACTTGCATGTCAATCCTGCAACCCTTGAGGATCTAGGTCATATGAGGTCCCTCGGTTGAGAAACAATCCCTCCCCTTCCCCATTCTTCACCCCATATCAGTCAAAAATATCTCTCAGAAAATCATGAATTTGATTTTTATCTCTGATATATTAAATGCCTTAATGATAATTAACAACTCTGGAAATTGATATCATTGAATTACCTGGATTTTCACCCTCCTAAAACATATTTTTCTGGTCAAATGGTTGAGTGTGAAAAACGCCCAGATAGTTGCATTACCCCTCTACTCAGAAATAAAGTCTGGTGAAAAACTACCACTTCACAAGAATGCACTGCAGATACCTGATACAGTTTTATAAAGGGTGTCTTTGCAAGATCTACCTGGTACATCGTTACTTCCCTTCAAAGTCTACATTTCTGTAGATTTACATTTTTCAGGAATTCATACTTCAAAAACTTGCATTCAGCATGTTCAATACAGCAAAACACGTTTATAATGAAGTGCCAGGGATGGACATTTTTGCTTCGTTATAAGCGTAATTCGTTATATACATTAAGTTTACAATATATTTCAACATCATGGGGAACGAAAATCACTTCCCTGTAAGCATCAATTCATTATAAGCGTGTTCGCTATAAGCTTCTTTTACTGTACTTGTTTACTCCATGTTTCATTCTATTGAACTGAAAAGTTCTTTAAAAAATGATCAAGTACAGAAATTACACATACATGTATAGGGCAATAGCTACCGGTATTTCAGACCATAAATCCCACTTACATATAACGTTATAGTTAAAAAAATGCATTTCAGGACAGAATCCTCATTGGAGAGGTTTTTAACTTACCTAAAATGGACTGTCATGAAGGGACCTGTGGAGACTAGTAGATTTGGAGGAGGCTGAATACCACATAATCCAAAATTTCCTCCGGCTTCTAACTACAACAGTGAAAAAGAACAAGTTTTCAAGACAAATAAGATAGCAATCATTATTTTAATTACAAAGTATGGAAACTTTACCGTAATGATATATGTATTAACAAATTCCGCTGACTGTAACATTTTGCACAATGCATTGTATTACCATGATTACAGTTCTGCATATTATGTAGTGACGGTACACTGTAAAATATATGACATATTTCCCAAACTAAATTTACGAGGAGAGTCTTCTACCTGGCTCACAAGCTCCTCAGATTTTCAAACCTACTCACCATTGCCCCAGTAAAGATGTCTTCAGAATCATACACATACAAGGCATCATTACATATTCCAGTGTTTTGGTCTATATCAGGAATATCCAGCTCTAGAAAACGTAACATAATTCTCCAGCCTTCATTATCGGCTTTAAAAGTCATTTTACACTCATTATTGTTCATATAATATTCTGAGTTTTCCTCTTGATGGGATAATACAGTGGCGCCTCCTATGTATTTCTTATTTCCACAGTCTATTCCATGCATATAATCTGTAAAATAAGAAAAATTTAAAATAATTTTTTGTCTTAAAGAAGTATAACAATTAACAAATGAGTACCCATGATTGGACAAATAAAACTGTCAAAAAATTAAATCAACCATTTTTAATTAAATGAAAAATCAATACAATACAACCTCATTATATATTTAAAGTATTATTTTATAAATAATAAAAAGCATGCACACAGCAATGTTGCCAAAATTGACCATTTCAGCATACCATGTACAGTCAAACCTTGTTCTCTCGAATTCGATGGGACCGAGAACAAACTTAGAGATATCCAGGGATTCGAGATATCGAGGGTAAAATACTTAAAGAATAAGCAGATGAGACTTTTAAAAACACTTCGACTTATCCATGGTATTCGAGATTTCAGTGTTCGAGATACCAAAGTTCAACTGTATATAACACTTTTTAATATCATACAATTGCCTTTTCCATTTATTTCATAAGTAGGATACACATCTTCTAAAAATGATTTTTCTGATTACAAAATTACTTAACACCAGCTATACATTGAAAATACAATTTTATGACAAAACTTTCCTATTTCTTGTGAAAAATATTTGATTCAGAAGTCCTTCTTTGAATGCAATATATTATCCAATGAAGATTTTTTTTAAATACCAATACTTATTACGAGTTGCATGTATTGCTGACTACAGCATTAGTCTTCCTGACAAAAACTGATGGTTAAGAATTTTATCAATGAGCTCAATCCCTACAAAACCTGCTTATGCATTTTCTTCCCTTATTTTTACCGAAGAAAGGTTTTTGCTGATAGTTTTCCAATAAAAAAAGATTGTTTCTTAAAATAATAAAAAAAAAATTATGCACTAAGCAAGTCAAAAATGAATTTGATTTTCATTCAATTGAAGCTATGGGAATAAGCCATAATTCTCTAATGTTCTATAATTTTTTTCAAAAGAATATTTTTTTAATAAAATGAACTATCACAGTTAAAGATCGCCTCAAAACAATACACACTTCAGAGCAACTGAAGCAGAAACATGTCCATAGTAATGGGTTACCAGGTTTAATCGAGAGTCAAATCTCGCAGTCTGTCGAACATAGGAGGTGTGATATCACAAGTTTTTTCAGAGTTCACTACAGTGATAATAATTCAGTTTTTCTCAAAACATGCCTAACGTAGCGCCTGACAAATGAGGTGCTGCTTTAATAGGTGATAATGGACCCTCAATAACCCTCCATCACTTCCCACCAAAGCCATATTTTGACACCCCCAGTAGCCTGTTTGTGGTGCAGATGAGGGCTATGCGACCTTTGTTCTGATTTCTGATTGCAGTTTAAAGATTTTACGTATTATCACCTAGTCTAATCTGCTTTGACACCTATATTATGTGGAATAATGGCACAGACTGTCTCTGTGTCAAGAAAGGTATCAGCAATGTCAAAAAATATACCCAAACTAGTGTAATGGCCTTTGTTTAAATGTACCCCTGCCAAGCCAAGAAGAAACATGTAATGAATGGCATTTCTCATTTAGTTGACAAAGTTTGGTATAAATAAAGGATCTTCTTGTCACAAACCTTACTTCATTGACTAACAAGTTCGACAAAAAATAGAAAAAAGCCTCTTTTACTCTTCAAATTTGTAACCTGAAACATGTAACTGACAACATATAATCAAAAGTGTAGGGGAAAAAAAGATTTCAGAAGATAAAGACATGTACATTTAAAGTGCATTTTAAAAAAAAATGTCAGCTTTATAAATTATCTCTTTCCTAAGGAGTTGTGCTCATGAGCCAGGGAATGGGTTGTAAAATCTTAACTGCACATTATATATATATGCTCCCTCAAATCCTCTAAAAGCCGACAGTTCTGCAAGCTGATATGTGTATGAAATAAATTGTGCGAAGATAATCTGCAACATTATGTAAGATAAATCACAATTAAGCAACATTTTAAACCTGTGTGGTAGACTTCAACAATCAGTCATTAATCAGACATGCTGAAGTTTCCTGGCATAATAAAGATTTCCTAAGAGCGTGAAAATCCATGCAGGTTTTGTCAGCTGCCAATCAACCCTTATTTAAAAAAAAAAAAAAAAGAAAGAAAAAAATCGTAGATCTCTAATCAGCAGCTGGCCATGGCCCCCTTTCTGCCTCTGCCCCAATCAATACCTTACTACTCCTATGGTCCTTTATTACTTATCCACTTTTCTGGAGCACCCTTTCAAATAACACCAGAATTTCTATTACCTGAATGCTAGAGTCATGATATATTCTTGCATTTCATGAAAAGAAACAATTACTAAAACACTTTGAAAGCCCCTCCTTGTACCCCAATTAATATTTGTATGTCTCTCTGGGGTTCCTCAATGTCTCATCCGCATTCAATAGGAAAAACCCTATTATTTATAGCAGAAATCGGAGTCGCCAGTGGCAGATCCTATCAAAAATTCATGCTGGACCTCTGCGACCCTTTTACATAACCAAGGCCACTATTAATAGTGCTTTGTTAAATTTCTTGTAAAGTCTCATTTAAAATACATGACCTCAATTCCATTCTCAGTTTTAGACTTGACAGAAATTTTACAGCGAAATTCTTCACACAGAATAATCTATATTTTCCCACATCTGACAGGTCCTATCTAAAAGACTGTCAAATTTATGAATGGCATCCTTAACCTTTTAAAGTGACCTGAATACAATGCACAATTAGTTGAACATTCTCTCCGAATATTCATTTCATCCATGAACAATGCAACAAAGTTGTTAAAGGTCTTAAGAACAATATTTTGCTTTAATAAATGCCAATCGAAAAAATACACAGCAGAAAGTTTGACCTTAGGAAACCTGCATTTAAATCTTGCAGTAAATGCTATAGTTGTGCCAAAGTATGAGCTGTGAGAATATCATCCTTATTCTATGACATAATCTTTCATGGTGCCAAAGCAATATTTGAACAATTTAAACAATTTGGGGTAAAGTTGACACTAAGCTCATCTGTCTTAAATGCCTAATCTTTGACATATGTTTTGGCTGGCACTAGCTAGCGGTATTAATAAATAAGTACATATATGATATCTGTAGAAGGTGTTTGAATGTGTTTATATACCTTTCTGACTAGTGTGATGAATGTTACTATGTATATCAATGAACAGACAAGTCAGATTCAGGTGCCATTATGATGCAATACATTACAGCTATCACCCAATACTACAATAATTATGAAGGATATAGAAACATATACAGAAAAGACAGATGGATAGAGACATAGAAGTAGGATAAATAAAATTATGTAGGATAAATTTAATTATAAGGATATTAAAGAGATATGTGTAGGATACTAAGGATAGATATCTATAGGATAGAGAGATATATCTATAGGATAGAGATTTAGAATTAAGGCAGGTATACTGTAATTGTAGGGTATGTTTTATGACAATTTCTTTTATATATTGCGGCACAAGAATCTTCATATTCAAGAAATACTGAGGGGTACTTCAGGACTGAAGGGTTCTCAAACAGGACCAGGGAAGGGTAACTATTTTGAAAGGCAACAAGGAATCAAAGTACAATGAAAACAGGACAAATCATGTCTAGCTACAGTTTCATTGAGTAACGTACAGCATAAAAAAACTGCCAATTTGGAATACTTTCAGAAGTTTCTTGAAATATTTAGCAACTAATTAAACAAATTTCAGAATATACCTTCGATGTTCTTGAGTTACAAAAGCTTTTGGAAAGATGGACAAAAAATATCCAACTGCAAGTAGATAATTACAATGAAAGAAAAGATTTTTTTTAAGTTAGGCACTTGTGTCAGAATTTGCAGACGCATCTCTACAAATGATAAGCAATGAGAAAACGCACAGCTAACCAGCTACCCATCTGCATTTGCTCTCATATCTTCAAGGGAACAAAAAAAAAATCAAAGCAAGATTCCTCCCTAAAATTCTTTAACAGACAGACCACTATATATGAGCAAAAAAAGGAGCAACAATTACATGTGTGTCTTTATTCCATGTCAAAGTGAAGATATCCTTCAATATGTCACAGTGAAGATGTCCGCATGCATGCGACATCATTTTTCAAAGACAAGGAAATAAACTGGACACTAAGTGGACACTGCTTAAAGTCAGGTACAAGAAGACCCAAAAATCAATGGTATCCTCTCATTTAAAGGCAGTCCCCAAACTTAGGCCATATTGGTGGTCATTAGGTGGAGATTGAAGGAGAACTGTTTGTTCAGTTTATCAGGAGATTTGCCATTATCTCATCATTGTTATGAGAGTCTTGACAAGGGACAAACAATTACATTACAGTTTTATGATGAGCAAGAGTTCAACAAGTCATAAATGGGCCATTCGAATTAATATGTAAACTGGCCCTTGGTCAGCTAGCTGATAAGGGAGAGCTACTGGTGATTACATACTAATCGTATTTCCTGCAGCCCATATTTGTTGGAAACAAATCTGTAAAGATTTTATACATCCAAATGTTCTTGGTTTGAAATAGGAAAAAAAAAATATTTTAAAATAATTAAAAATGTCTGATCTATCATTAATTATTATTGATTAATTATTTAACATGACTATTTTTTTTTTAAAAAGTACGACATATAAATGAAAAGAACAAGACTTTTTTTACGGTCATAAAAATATGTCATTAAATCAAATTGTATTAAAAAAGTAGAAATAATTAATTTCAATATCTGCCAGCATTTATATTGACAATACATGTACAGGGTCTGAACCAGTTTAAGGTTTTGCTGAAGAATGCAATATAGCTTACAGACATTTTCTTTTCAAAATATTACATCAACCTACATAATTGAGCAGGAAATTCAATGTTGGTTCTGTCAATCTATTTACATTAATCTTTTTCATCTGTCATGGACACACTAGTAACTGACACAGTGAACATCTACATTTTCAAAAATATTTTTCCAACACTTCAAATCCTCAGGGGGAATATGATGATAGAGGTATGACCCAGGTATCAAGATTTTCCAGATGTCAGTATACGGAGAAGTTATATTTTGAGGGCATGGTACAAGTACACTCCGGAACAAAACAAACATGAAAAGAGTCTGAAAGGTGGATAAATATCAGATGAAAAGATAGGCATTTGAGCCCCTTCATAGTAATGCAGTCAATCTTTGCTATTTCAATACACAGTAACACTACTTTTTAAAAAAAAAATTGTGCTGCACATAAAATATATTTTAATGTTCAAAATATTTTGACGCCAAAACATTAAAATTGACTTGCACAATAATCTACCTTAAAATGTAAAGAAATATGGGGAGCAAAATGATCAAAACCAGTATATGAAATATGCGAAGCTAATCAACTCCATGCTACTGAGAAGGGACTTAATCAACTGTTAATTATGACCTTAAACAAACATACAGTGAGATAGAGGCTAATCATGTGGATTTTGGCGGCTCCTAAATACCACTTGTGGCCAACGGGAAGGCAAGCTAATCTCAAGATTTTACGTAATGTTTGTCAGAGAGATGTACTCCCTGTGAACTCACGAGTTCTAGTCCCTAAACATGTATGAAATACATGTACCAAAATGCTGTAATAAATGGATCAGGCGGAGAAAAAAAGTTTTAGAAAGGTTAAATTCTTTAGATATATAATTAAATTCATTAGGAAATAATATACTAATTATCTCACCGTAAAATATGACAATGTATACAATTCAAATTTTATATGCATATGCTTTTAACCTTGTTAAAATCTGCTGATGAAAAACTTCAACATATTAAAGGTCTATAGATATATCTTATCCTCTTAAATATGGTTAAGTACATATAAGCTTCAAATTTTTGGAAAGTATGTAAAAATTCTGCGTTCATAAATCCTCAACATGTTTTAAATCACCACAATAATTAACTAAAGCAACAACCTGGGTGTTGAAAACTTGAAATCCGAAAATTATAAAATATTGCATCGCAGACCACCCTTACTTAAACACCTCTTTTATACGACATAAAAATCACCCAACCCCCTCATTTGCTAACCCATTGTAACATTCTCGTTATTTAATATGGCCTCCTTTGTGATCTACAAGCTTTAGAATCCATGCTCTACCTCTCTGAATTCAATTGCCCCTGCAGACATGGCAGAAAAATCGGAGGTTGTTTTCTAATCACTTCTCAATCCTTCTCCTCCATAGAAAAAAAAAGAGAGAAGAGAAAAACAGATCTAGATGTTATCAAAAAACATTTATTTTCAAATAATCTCTTATATTTTCTATTACTGTAACATGTACGTTACGCTATGCTACAGAAAATATGTACAATTAAAGAGATTTATTTCTCCCTTTGTGGATGAGGGATTTTTTTTGTTATTTCAAAAAGATAGTAATCACAGATTCAAATTTCAGAATTTTATTTACGTACAATCCATTATCAAGCATGTCAGATATGACACATAAAAGAATTGTGTTCTAATGGACTATGGAGTTCGCAAGCTCAGTTTAATACCCACTTCAAGAGATAAGAAAGCCCTTTAATTTGTTGTTGAAAGCTTGATTATGACAAGGTATTTTCTCTTAAAATAATTATGTGACTTGGAGCTTTGATTTTCTCTATAGCTTCAGAGAAGTTAAACCCCAATAAGTTACAAATTATTAAATAATAATACCGTACTATTAAACATGTTAAAGGGCTGGAAAATCGACAAGATATATATATTCTCTGCACAGTATTGACATATATTTCATTGCCTTCAATACCTGAGATGCAGGCTGCAGCACTAATAAACTCTGGGCATCGTCAAATTATCATGTATAATATAAGCACTATTGGCCTTACAATATCAGGCAATGTAAATGTACGATCTATTTTGATTATAAACAAACTTGTACAACATTATACTCCCTTGACATCAGTATGAAACGGAATGGTAATCCATTTATGTACAGACACACTGGCATCTAAATAAGTTACATCATATGCTCTATTATAATTTTCTCTGTATATTTAGCCTATTATAATAAGCATACATGGTCTAATAAGAATGCAAAATGAGGGCAATATTTGACACATGTTTCATATGAACCTGAGCTTCGAAAATTACAGGCTAATACAGGGCATACATTTCTTAATATAAATATAACATGTGTTTCTAGTTGCTTTAAGAGAAATGACTAATACTTTATAGAGGAGCAATATCACATGAATAGCTTTTCCAAGAAATTTGCCTTCTATTTTCTTTGGGCATTTAGGAATCTTCCTTCCTTGTTTATAAATAATGCAGAGAGCTTTCATTTTGCTCATTGATAAAACAATTTTTGGAACGCTTTTTTTTTCTTCCAATTGCTTTGATTTGAATTTGGTTTTTTTTTTTTTATAACACCCTTAGTTTTTTTCTGTTGTTAAAGTTCGAATTATTACATAAATAATTTAAATACTTACATACAATATTAAGTAAACATGATTTTGGCGTACATAAACATGATTTAAATAAAAAATAAACGAGTGAAGTTGTTACATGGTGAATTTTTCCCTTATTTATTTTTTTTCTTTTTTTATGAATTGTTTTATTTTTTTCATTAATTATATGAAAATACCCTAATACTTTCTTTTCTTTTCAAGAGGACAAAATCAGCCAACAGTAAACTTTATCTTAACGTCTAGAATTATTGATATCTGAAATATCACAATCTGATCCTTGCTGTTACACTACGGAAAACAAATAAGAAATATGATGGGTATGACGTGAACAGGTGAAACTTTTTAAGTTTCAAAATAATGGTTTCAATGTAAATATTTAAATGTGGTATTTTAAAAATGCCCAGATGAGAAAGATATCGACTTTTCTACTTAAAGATAGGGAGACCCTTGAATGACACCGAGTTCTCTGGAATTCTGGATCGATCGATCGTTACAAATTTTCGAAACTGCACGTTTTTTAAGGCAGAGCACTTCGGTGAAAAACAAACAGTTTATCTAAGTCATTTGGGCTTGTCTGCAAAAATTATTAGACGACAATTATAAACATAAATTTTACTTACATGTTTGTGTCTTTTTCGTCTGAGATTCACTTAATAATAGAGTAAACATCCATAAGAAACACCAAGACTGAGAAACCCAGTCTGGCCCTAACGCCATGTTGAGTTACTACTGAAACAAATAACTTCCGGGAAGCGCCATCTGTAAACAACACCACGTGGGCAGGTGCGACCTGTCATCGATAATTAGAATGTTCAAAAAGGTGGTAAAATTCACATACCGTGAAAATCATAGTTATGACAGGTGTCTTAAGAGTTTGAATTCGAGCACTTTGATATTGATTGTTCCTCGCAAACTTGACCATTTTAATGTTTAATATGGACATTTTTGTATTATAACAGAGGCATAATAATCATAATAGATCTCTGTATATACTTATGATATCAGGGACCTATATACTTAGTATATAGGTCCCTGATGATATTAAGAATCTACCGGAGACAGTAAATTATACATAGTTGTCACAATTTTCTTCATTTGATGAATTAAACCGTGGAACTAATACCATTAAAGACATGATTAACCTATGTCTAAGTCTTAATTTAAGTCTTTTTTTTTTTTTTTTTTTTACTTTGGATTGAAGAATCAACTTGAATGACTTTGTCTGCTTATTGTCAAGTTGTAAATTTTGAATTTACCGGGTGACAGTAAATACAGAAAAAAAATGTATTTACTGACACCCGATAAATTCAAAATTTACAACATGACTTTAAATGTTCCTCATTTTACTACACTTGATAATGAACAAATATATATATATATATATATATATATATATATATATATATATATATATATATATATATATATATATATATATATATATATATATATATATATATATATATCCCATGTTTACCCCTTTATCCCGTGGATATGACTCATTAGATAAATTTTTCATAATCCACAGTTAAGTGCAGTTGTGACGTCACAATGGTTTTTGCGTTAGCGTGATGAAGTAAAATAAAGTGGAGTCCTATATAAACAGTGTAAAACATTGGTTGTGAAGTATTAAACAAGGGATAAAAAGAATCTCCCATGATTTGTAGTTGGATATGACTTTTATCCAACTCGTTGTGTGTTTTTATCCCCTCGCCAAGGCTCGGGGATAAAAAAAACACACAACTCGTTGGATAAAAATCATATCGAACTACAAATCATAGGAGATCCTATATATATTCATTATGTTCCGGGGATACTTTTATTTCAATTGCAACTGGAAAGTGTATTTTCAACAACATCAGAAATGAAGCCTTAAATAGTTGTGTTTTTGAAACATTTTCTTTATTTTTTTTTTATTCTTGTTGGGGAGGTAAGGTGGGGGGTAGGGGTGGGGTGGTTATACCTAAATACCTGTAATCTTATAATATTACCATAGTAGATTAATAACGATACCTGTGTACATTGTGAAAAAATGCTGATTTTCATTATTTTCATAAGGAAAGACGTGCATCATGTAAATGTGACAGACAAATGCTCAATAATTTTAATAATTTTAAGGGCTTGTTCAAAAGTGCATTTCTTGGATGGACATAATCTTAAGTTTTATTTCTATAAATGTCGATAATATCTACTAGAATGGTACTTGGGGAAAACTTTGCATACATTTAAAACAAATTAATACATTTTGCATGCAATCGTAAGGAATCTTAGTTTGTTGCTGTTTGTATAATAATTTGTTAGTTAAAGACGGAAAAAGATTAGTAAGTGAAATTCAAATTACGAAGACTTTAAGACCAAAGCATATTTAATTTTATGAACAAAAAGATTTCGATTACATTTCAATAATAAGCAAAGCAGAGTTACACCCCTTCGATATCTTATACGAAAACCTTTGTAAGCAAAGGGAAGGGGGGTTCCACATGGGGGCAGGGGGTGGGGATGGGTTGTAGGAAAAGCATCAGTTATGCAATGTCTTAAGAATTTTCTGGTGTAAAATATTTCGGTAGGAAAATAAGTTCAAAAGTAGCACAGCCTATGGAGGCTAATTATAAGGTTGCGTTTATGTTTACTCTGAGATTTACATGTACTTAATTTCATGAATTTCCGGGGGGGGGGGTTCCAGGACCTACTGGGGGCCTTAAGGCGATCTCAGATCCGCTGTCTTCGAAAAAAAATTTACCCCCCCTCCCCGGCCCCAACCAGGATTCCTAGATCCGCTCCTAGCCTAGACCAAGTCTCTAACGGATAAGCCACGCAACTCATATCGTGGCGATTTAAGGACATATTATACAAACTTTTTTTCAGCATTCATGAAAATAAGGACTATATCTACGTTTATGTAATTAAGATAAGTCTAGTCGTATAAAGTTTTAGCTCAATCCATTCAAAGCAAAAGCATTCTTTTTTACACTAAGTAAAAATTAGAAAAAGTGCAACTTTATGCATTGAGAATAATTACGGGATTACCAATGAAAACTTCGTCAGATTTGCTTTATTTATAGAAAATGGATGGAATCAAACCTCTTACAGAAAGATATAAAAAAGCAAAATAAATACTACTATGTTTAAAGTACATAACATTCTTGTACACAATTATTTAAAAGCATTTTTCCTTCAACAGGGAGTATAGATTAAAATTACAATAAACGCAACAGGAAGGACTACACTATTCATAAATGTAGACTCGAGATATTTAATCAATGGAACAGTCTACGTATTATGACAAGAAACAATTCATATTTTGGTAATCTAACAGTAATATACATTAAAAAAAAAACTGAACCCCCCTCCCCCCCCCCCACATTTTTGTCACTGAAACAGATGACTTAAAATCATAACCACTAAACTAAGAAACAAATACATTTTGAATTATGGCTTCTTTAAAATAAACATTATTAAGAGTCCTTATTGTTCATATGACACAACAGAGGATGCGTATCATTTGTTCTTTGTAAGAAATACCAACGTTAACATGCTAGAGGGGTTCTATTTAGAAACCTTTAAATTAAATATTATGATTGTCACATATTTCTGTGGGGGAGATGAACTATAAAGTGTTGAAATCAATCAATATATATTTTTTATCAATCGATACAAAAATTTATACCGTAGGAGTTACTGGTAGATTTATTTTTACTATTACTAACACCAGAACTCGTCACTTTTTCTTTACTTATTCGCCCATGTTCTTTGTAATCAGGTTTTAAGAAACACGATGTATAAATTTTCACATGTATTTATCACTATTAAATTCCTGTCAATAAAAGACTTTCTTTTAATATAAACAATATCTAACTGAATACTCAACTGTTCTACAGAATACACGAAGATACATAATGCTTCGCACTTAAAATCTGTTTTTAAAAAAGGGGGATCACTTTGAATCCTTAACTGCATATCATAACTTTCCTTAACTGTATACCATAACTTTCAATTCAATTCACTTTCATTTATATATAAAATGTATTTCATCTTCTACAACAGTTTTACAAAGTGACAAAAACAAGATTCTTAATTTTGGGATACATAGTTTTGAAAATCTGCCAGTTTCAGCTTCTAAAGGGTGTGCAGAAATTCTCAGTTTTGTTAATTTAGAGCGTACATATTTATTAATTGGAAATTTCAAGTAGTCTTGTAATTCATAGTTCTTTCTAATTTGACTGTAAAATAATAGTTTACCACATCTGGAGAATTCAATGCTCTGAAGTTGCTTATTAACATTTTTTATATAGAAATTCTTCAAACAGCTGCTAAATGTACTATCAGTAATATCTAATTATGGTACTATTATGGTACTATTAGTAATATCTAATGATATGGAAGTTTAAGTTTCTTTTTTAATTTATCAATCCGACCCTGCCAATTTTCCTTCACACCATTATCATAAAGGTTGACATCTTCGATTCCAAGAAAGCAGCAATAATAATTTGATTTATAATTCCATTTTCATTATTCTGTTTTTTTAGTCTCTTGTAATATTAAAACACAGAAATGAAAGCTTTGCAACAAATGGGGAGTGTTCCTACATGTAGCTCATATTTAATGGCTAAATTTGAAGCTTTTTTCTGTACACCCAAAATGTCTTTAAATATGAGATGCTGTATCTTTTCAAAAGGTAGTTGATCACAATTGTTTACTTTAATATTAAAGTCTGAAATACATACCTCAGAACCATACAAAATGATAGGCTCAATAAGTGAAAAATATAGTTTTAAAAGTTTTAACAGAAAAATTATTATGAAAGAGTAAAGGGTGTTTCATCGCATAAAAATAAGATACACATATATACTGATTATATCAAGATTATGAATGTGCAGCTAATTATTCCAGTCAAAGATTCATAATTAACTCAAATAACCCAGATATAATGACAGACATATAGACAAAATGTAATCACGTTGATGGGTGACAAATGCTGCATGTCTCTTAGTCGGTTGAGCGAAACATTATAAGGTAAGAGGGATAACTCTCATTTTAAAAAATCAAAAGATGTTTTTAAAAAAATGATAATACGGAAATCACAATGGTATTTGACATGTGCAAGTACGTTTATTGACCAGAAAAATCAAAACAGTTTGGTTCAAAGATTCGACACTGTCGAACACACAATTGCAAATTATAGATGATTGATATCAGGCCCGTAGGAAGCGATTTCAGTTTGGGGAGGTGGCAAATATTTTCAGTCTGGGGGCGACACTACCAATTAAGCATTAAAATTCCTTGACAAACGAAATTAAAAAAAGGTCATCAGACATAATTATAGAGGGGCACTGTAAACATAAAATAGCTTTGTTTTCTATTGTTTTCTAGATTTCGGGTGTGCATGTGTGTGTACACTCTCCTCCCTCCCTCCCCCCTCCTCGGTTCCTACGGCCATAGATATCGTGCCGAATGTGATGTAAAACTTGTCATAGTTGACCAACATCTCACCGACTGGTTCAGCATCATATTTTTTGAACTGCTCGGTTTAAAAAAATCAAAAATATTATATTTTTCAAAAATATAAATTCACATAGGAAAAATATTCAAAGGTAAATAACAAAAAGCTTTATTACGAAAGCCCATTAGGATCAAACTACGGTAAAAAAAAATTCAAAAGGCGTTATAACGCCTTTTTGAAAGGCGTTATAATGCGAAAAAAGGCGTAATAACGCCTTTTGAAAAGGCGTTATTACGCCTTTTAAAATGGCGTCATTACGCCTTTTAAAAGGGCGTTATTACGCCTCTTTTTTTTCAATACATGACTTACTTAGCCCACCCTGGGGGCTGATTATAATTAGATTTCTAAGAAAAAAGATTTTTAAATGTGTAAAATATTTTCAGTGTTAAACCAACTTAGTCCTTCTCTGATGCCAGACGCTTCTACCAAGGTGTATGCATGGATTTCAGAAATTCTATTGAAGGCTAATTGCTCATTATACCTATGCAAATACTGTTTTTTACCAAGAGGAGAGAAAAATATTTCAAATTTGACATGAATTTTTAATGCGTGGCTAGCAAAGCCCAAAGCTGGTTCTGCCTATATCCTGGATTTTCAAAAGTAGAGTGTTGACTTCTCTTAATATGCATGCAAAATGCAAACAACTGTCTGCGAGATGTGCAGGAATATAGAAAATACTATAATTTATAATATAATTTATAATATTAAGACTATAATCTAAATATTGCATAAATAAAGATGGCTTTGGTTCAATCTTTCATATATTTACTATTTTAAAATAACGCCTTTCCATTTTTGGATACAACTCCTTTTCAAACAGGCCGGTAGTACGAATGAGAGTGTGGGGGGGGGGGGGATCCCCCACCCCACTTTTTGGAAGAATAGTCTTGCTATAGTTTAAATATAAAAAATCATTTATTGATTGCTTGGGTCCCTTAACATTTTGTTGCAGTATGGTTAAACTCGGGCAAGTCATTGCATTCAAAAAGAGTTTTACCGAAAAATTAGAAAAAGTTTCCCCTCAAGTTTAGGCAGTTTATTTTTTTTTTTCGGGGGGGGGGGGTCTTGTTTTTTTGTTTGCTTGTCAATTTTATGGGACCCTCCCCCCCCCCCCCCACTTTAAAATCAAAGACATAATAATGGCCCTTCAATAATGATGCCTTTTTGAAAGGCGTATTAATGCCTTTTGGAAAGGCGTAATAACGCCTTTTGGAAAGGCGTTATCACGCCTTTTGGAAAGGCATAATAACGCCTTTTGGAAAGGCGTAATAACGCCTTTTTTCGCGTTATAACGCCTTTTGGAAAGGCGTTATCACGCCTTTATTTGCGTTATTACGCCTTTTTTCGCGTTATAACGCCTTTCGAAAAGGCGTTATAACGCCTTTTAAATTTTTTTTTTACCGTAGTTTGATCCTAATAGGCTTTTCGTACTTTAATTATCTTTCAATCTCTAGTAAGAAAAACTTTAAGTCTCTAGCTACTGGAACTTTTAGATGTTTTCAACCAAAATTGCTTCTGATTTAAGTTTCATATTTATGAGAATTTAAAACTAACTTTAACAATTGAGTTATTTGTAATTTATTTTCCCCTTGATTTCCTACAGATCATAATTTATTTGCATTCCCATAAGAGAGAGAGAGAGAGCAGTCTCGTAGCATGGGGGTGACAAGCAGGTCTGAAAAAGCTTGACATGTTAAACAAAAAGATAAAAGAAAGAAAGAAAAAGAACAGCAACAAAAACCTTAACATTGCCAAACCTGTTTCGTTGCGTGGTTTTGTGTTTGTGTGTGTGTATATGTGTGTGTGTTGGGGGGGGGGGGGGTATTACTATGATAATCACTTTTTCGGGAAAAAAATAATGATACTGCGAAAAAGATAGTAGGGTCCCATCATACTGGGATGATTAGCCTTTGAAGGAAGGGAAATTTCCATACTAAATTTACTGTGTCCGAACCTTTGATGTTCTTACATGACACATGACATTATATGAAAGTTAAGTTTTATTGAAAATTTATATAGGCTTATAACAGCCCCATCTCCTTCCCCTCTTCCTTTTGCTGAAAATTTAGTGTGGAAATTTTCCTTCAAAGTATTGTCCCCCTCCACGTTTTGTTGCAGTGATGACGAAACCCTCTCATGTTTCAATACTAATTATTTTTTCCCCGAAAAAGTGATAGTGACCCCCCCCCCCTTTACACACTCAGACACTCACACACACACACACGCAAACTGGGCTGAAAAATATGCCAAATAAAAAAAAATAATCATAAAATTTAAAGATGTTACGAACGTCTACTAGAATCAATTTTCATGGGTGAAAAAAATTAAAGACGTAAAAAATTAGCTACTCATGGTATATGTAAACTAATATAACATGTGTATTAAATATCAGTACAAATATGCCTTATTTTCACATCGGGAGCAGTTTCCTGGCGCCGGTATCGTGAAGAAACCTTGTAGTCTTAGGATCTTTATGTTGTATTGAAAGCAGATCAAATTAAATAGTTTTAATACTCTTCACAAAAGTTTTGTTATCTGCAAATTTAGAGATTACTAGGCCTAGTAATTACTTACTTAATAAACATTTTTTAACCTGTTTCCAGGCATTTTTTGAGGGGGTTGGGGGATTGGGGGTGGCACAGGCTATCGTTTGGACGATGTAAGCGGCCATGCACAAAAAAAAAATAAAAGAAATATTTTTATATTTCATTTGATGATGTAAAACGTTATTTTAAGAATCAATTTCTTTTTTTGAAATAATACTAATCACAAAACCAAAGCAATGATAAATGATAAAATCCATTTTTTTTATGATATAAGGGGCAGCGTTTATTTACCTGCAGAGTTTACGTTGGCATGCACTGGCTATTTAAAACACAAACTCGTGCTCTTAAGCATTAAAGGGTACTAAATAGAACGTGCTTTTGAAATTTCCACAAGGGCGCAATGCATGCAATGTCACGAAATTTTAGTAAACATTACAATGGCACGCGTTTCCAAGTGAAGCAAGAAGTTCCAGTGTCTTCATAGTCCTTGATCATGAATCCATGATTATGATCCATACATTACTACACGATACAAAGCGATGAAAGGTAAGAAAAATATAGATATACATGAAAGCTCGTGTTCTAAGTAGTGATCTAACTAAAAGAATGCTTACATTGAAAATCAAGAGTCAAAAGTAATCAAAATCAAAAATGATACATGATTAAATGTATTAGGATTCCGTTGAGAGTAAGCAGTATAGGTAGGTGTGAAATTTTGTATGGCCAATGATACCAAAAACCTGTAATGTTTAGTTTACTGCTCGGCATAATTGGAAATCTCTAGATCTACTGCCTATAAATAATCAATGAAGTGGACAATACATCGAAAAGGACTGAAAAGTAGGTGGAAAACACTAAAAAGTAGCACAAATAGATAACATAGAGTCATAGACAAGCACTTGCTTCTGCTTAAAAATCACAGATATTTGTCAGGTTTTATTTTGAAGAAGAAAAAAAAACAACAATTGACCATGTCATGATAATGCAAACATGATTCTTATCCAAAAATACCAATAAAATTACTGGCCTCCTAGTAACTTTTGGTACAGTTACAGACTTCCTTTGATTAATTGTCAGATCGTACTTGGATCCAGTTCAAACTCAGATTCTTTTACCCTGTGATACCAAATTTCTGGATTCTTGTTAAATAGTTAGCCCTTTCATGATAACTGTGGTACTACTCTTTTGCTGGGCATATTTATAACACTTGGCGAAGTTTTTAGTGACAGATAATTAAATGAAGTATATTAAAAATTGCTTGTACATCAAACTTCACCAAAATTTATTATTTTGCCCTGAAAAAAGCAGTACCACTGTTATTGTGAATCAGTCCATAGTTATTAAAAATTTGCGAGTTTAGAGGCAATGTTAACAATATTTTTCTTTCTTCACAAATTCACAAACCATTATTTTTCTTATTTAGAGTGTCAGATACTGACATTTAAATGTTTTAAAATGGACAAAATCAGAGGATTATAATAACATTTAATTTTTCTTGATAATATTGACAGGAATACTACATACTATATCCATTAATACCTAAGTATGGTGATAAAGACATGAAACTTAGTAATCTGGTCAGTTCAATACTTGAATGTGTATGTTTTAGTTTGACTATATAAGGATTCATTGTTGTATTTAAATGTATACTTGTAATTGCCATTCGTAACAGAGAATGTTATTTACATTGTGTGAAATAATTGTACTGTAAGTAGGGAAATGCTGTTTGCAAAATTTCACTCTTGAGTTATTGAAGTACTGTAATGGGAGACACTACAGACTACAGTATACTTATTAAAAACACTCAATACATGTACAAGCATTAATTCACACACATTATTTTGTGTATGCTTTATATTCTGGACATTTAGGAAAGTACAATATGAAGAAAAATTAATAGTGCATACATGAGTCATGTGATTTCCAATTTCCTGCTTTGTAAATATTGAATCCTGTCCATAAAAAAAAATCTTTAAATTAACTAAATTAATCTTTGATTAGATTAATAATGCAGTAACTTTACATTTGATCAATTAAATCCTTGTATTAGTTAGAAAATTGAAAGACTACTACATGGATTTAAATGTGACAGTAATGGTAATGATTATATCTGCAGACTGCAGACATTATTAATATTGACCATGTGTCTACATGTATATATACACTTGAACATGAATCCTCCATCCTTTTCATTAATATCCTCCTGTCTCCCTCCCGATGCCCAAGTATGAATTGGTTCAATTATGCTTCACACCATAAAGGGAGCTTTCACACATTAAATATGAAAAAAGTAAATTGCTAGATATAGAGCACTCTTGTGTATAGTATGTTATTTTACAGCTTCACCTATAATAATCATTCCAAATATCCAACATTCTCAATCTCCAGCTGTAATTAATTCTCATTGTACATGTCATCATTAAATTGATCATCGACCCATATTTTAATCTTTGTATATTCGATGTCTAAAGTGCAATTTGTTTATTTGTTTATACATGTGGCTGATGTATGAATGTACAGTAACTATGTCAGGTTTGACCTACATCAGGCCTGTTAGCATTTACAATCGAGTCTTGTTTCATTGAGGAGGGGTAATAAAATAACCTGAATAGATGACTAAAATTTCGATTATATAAACTTTCTTATAATGTGATATAGTAAGGAGTTAACAACTAGACCATTGCAGAAATACAACACTTCATACTTTTTTGAGAGTTTTTTTTTTTACCTCAATTGGGCCAGGTATGTATACATGTAAAGGATGATTGCTAATGCATACTGAATTAAGGTTTTGCATAACATAAACTGTAATGTACAGCTTAATTGACATTTATTAGCTATAATATACCAGTATATATAGGTTTGCAAATGAAGTGTTAGGAGGAAAATATCTGGTTTGAATAAAGGGAAAGGGAGGGGCACTTGTGTCCATAAATTCCCACACTACCCTTAGTTATTGCTGAGGTTTATGATTGAAGCCTGCTAGTTGGTTACAGAAAATTATACACTAATATTCTAGGGTATTATATGAAAACTGTGCCGTTAAAGCTGCATGTGTATAAAGCCTAAAAAAGTTTAAGGACTTTAATCTAGTGTACCTGCAGGGACAATAAAAGAAAACAAGTTACCAGTGGGGTCAATGCCACAGTGGAGTGGCTGTATATAGTATGATAATTATACAAGTACATGTATATTTAAGATGGCTACATTGTAGTTCATCATATTAGCAGTATGGGCAGTAAACAAATATTCTTGCAGCCATTTTTATGATCCTTGAGAGATTAGAAAGATGAGCATCAAAAGCAGGAGTGGATCCAGGAATCAAAGTTAAAAGGGAGGGTGGGGTAGGGTGGGGTGGGCTAGCTGTTTAGGCAGAAGATCTGGGGGCCACCCTTAGATCCCAAGTGGGTCCAGGGCAAAGCTCCTGAAGCTTTTGGATTTTAGAGACAAAAATGAAGTTTTCTTTAAGAACACATTTTTACTTTTCCTTGTCATCATGCTTAATAACCAAGAATTAATAAAATTACAAATATTTGAAGGTTCATGGATCAGTCAAAAATGAAGCAGTCAAGCCCCCAGAAACTTCTGCCCCCCAAAATCATAGCAAAAAAGTCTTTTATTCACACCCTTTAATCCAATAATTCATTTCTTTTTGAAGAAGGAACCATGTTTTTTTCTGGAATTTGATTATTTGGGGGGAGGGGGGATGTACTCAGCCTCTTTCCCCCAAAATCTGTCACTGAAAAGGGAGGGGTGTATAAAGTGTTAAATTTCTTTTCTGTCCACAACAATATTTAAATAATAAACTGCATCAGATGAATTAGTAAGATGAAAACTTCAAATTTTATAAAAATGATAGCAGAGGTCAGTCATACTTTGAGGTCAAGGTTATAGATTAAAAAAAATCAAAATTAATAAATACATCTTTTAAATTACTATGATGTTGTAGCAGTGATAGTTCATGATAAGTCATACAAATTCTTCTGTAATCAGGATTTTTTTTTTTCATCAATTCATCATCAGATATTTTAGAGTCTGGAAAAAAAACCCAGTCTGAATGATGGTTTCAATGAATATAATTTGTGAATGAACAGGCAAAAATTCATTACAAACATCAGCAACATGGTTATAGATGAATTCCCAGTGGGCACAGAGTTCCAAAAAAGAGCTGTGTAATTATTGATTTGGTTATTTGTCTATATATGTATTAATTTCTTTGTTAATCTTGATCTACAGAACTGATAATGAACCAGGGTTATAAAGACTACAGGAAAAGGAGATTTTTTGACGGTTAATTTGAAGAAGTTGAGTTTATTGAAAAGAATTTACCAACGGAAATTAAGGTAATTATTTTTTTTCAAAAGTTCTTCTAACAATTAAGATATGGTTTCATAATATGTACAAAGGTACATGCAATATGTCATTATCCAATGTTAATTATGTTTTTATGCATAAGTGATTGTATTGTTTATTGTCATTTACAAATTCATCAGTAAAAAAATTGTTTGGCTTTCTCAAGTTTATACGGATTTGCATTATACTTCCATTGTAAATGTACAAGGGCAGTAATGAGATTCTAATGCACAAAGTTTCAGTTTAATTAGTGATAAAAATTTCTTATTTAACGAATAATCACTGTTTTGAACTTAATTAAATTTTATGAAAAATGGATAACAATTATGATTGTTAAATCACAGAAAACTGAGATTGGTTTTATATACCATGGAGGTGCACCATGATGTGTTTAAATTACAAAATGCAAAATCAAGGTATGATTGTCATTTAATAGTGCAAAACTGATTGAAAAAACATCCAACTAAAAATACTTTACCAATACTATAAATACACAATAGAGGTATTTGAAAAAAAATCTATGAAGAAATTTGTTTTCCCAGATGGATATGGATTTTGTATTTTAATTTATGGAGACCAAATATTAAAGGGTTTTTATCTACAATACATATGACCCCTGATCTCAATGGTCTTCATGCATCCATATTCTGGCTTTTATTTTATTTATTCTTCATAGCTATTCAATATTTATCTAATGCTAAAGTGACACACTTTATGGAGTTTGGATATGAAACAATCTCAGACAGTATTGTTCAAAATTAGGTCAGAATAATTAGTTAATCACACATCGAACACTCTTATTCAGTTGAAGCCAAATAAATGTGTGAGGTACGTGCTAACGAAGAAAATATTGACTAGCAAATTGATTTTTTCCCCCTTTTCCTTACTTGCTCTCAAAGTATCTGGAGGACTAAATATAATGAACATGATCGCATGAGGATTAAGACAAAAATGTTTCCTGTCCTTTAGAGGCTTATGGATTGAAAACAATAATGCTGAAAAATAAAGGTGTGACAGTTTGCTTCGTAGATCACCTTTAATATCAGTGTGCTGCACAGGTAAAGACTTCCCAAGGCATGTTGTAGGTGATCGAATATGAGGAATTATTAACATGTTGTACGTAAGATGTTATCTCCTGCCTTCCTGCTTTTGCTAACGAGGTGTGTACCTTACCCATTTGTGTATCCAGGGTAGTGTGTTTTAGTAGTTATGTATGGGTTTACAAGGTGTTATAAAAATTAATTGCATCATGTACAGGGGCTTCTTGAGGGTATCTATATAGTTAAAGGAGGGAAAAATCAATTCATATGTTTCTATAAATATAAATATTAAAATTATATGTATGTACATGTATACTTGTATACATGTATTGTATATTTGATTCTTTAATCAATATGACAGACTTTGCATTTTGATGTTTTAAGTATTTCTTGAGATTTAAATAAAGAATCTGAATTAGTCTCCAACATCAGATTGCACAAATCTAGCTCTGGAAGGTGAAGTTAGGTTTTAAGGTTGTAGCCCACATAAATTTGTCAAGTATTTTATAGAGGTGACATATAAATGCATTAAATGTAAAGTACAAGTGGATGTTTGTTTACTTTCCACCATCACTCTATCAATGATGTTATCTATTTATTCTCCACAGTGTACCAGGTTATTGCAGTCTGACCACATGGTAGCAGAAGACAACTTCAACCCCGTGGCAATGGCCTCTTGTACTGATGGGTTCCACTTCACCGTGCAGCACATTCACATGCGGCCCCAGATGTTCCTGGGTGAGTCCTCCACGCTGGACGAAGTATTTCTGTCAGGTCGACCCCAGGGTCACAAGGGGGTGGACTCCATTATTTCTCCAGATGTGGAACTCCTCATTGAGAAGGACAAAGAAAGTGTTTTAGACTCTTCGGAAGAGGGAGATATTTTAGGTCGCTCTGGACCAAGTTGTTACCAACTCTCCATTTCATCTGTGATACTGATCTCAATTATATGCATACTAGTCGTGACTTGCAGACAATATATCAAAGATCTCTTACTATGGCTCGAACAAACAGACCCCTACATAAGTGTATTTATTTTCCTCCTTCTCTTCATAGTGACCTCCTTTCCGATGGCCTGGGGGTACATACTCCTCATGGTGGCAGCGGGATATCTGTATGGCTATATCTATGGACCTATAGTGGTATTAATATGTGGGACTGTAGGTATTATTGTAGCTCATTTAGTGATGAAAAACTGCTGCCAAAACTTCATCAAAAAGAGGTTCTATAACAGTAAAATGGATGCTGTTATCAAAGTGGTTCAGAGTTCTCAAGGATTCAAGTTAATAGCCTTAGCCAGACTTACTCCTATTCCATTTGGATTACAGAATGGACTATTTTCAGTAAGTAGTTGGTTTTTTTCAAAATTGGACAAGGTATGATGACAGTTAGCATGGACCCTGTATTATCAAAACCAAGTAAAAATTGTGATATATATTTTAAAAATCTGATGAAAATTTATTGAAAATTAAAAAGAAAAAATTGAGAAAATTAGAAAAAAACATTTTCTTATCATCATTATCATAATTATTTATCATAATCTTTGAATTTTAATTTAAAATATAAATCTTGCCCCCCCCCCCCCCCCACACACACACACACATAGCCTTGGGGGGATGATTTGGCTACCTAGTTCATTGCACATTTATAGTTTCATTTAAGGAAAAGGAATCTTCAGAAACATTTTTCTGTAAAAAGATCAAACTGGATCTTGTTTAAAGCCTGATGGCATATCAATTTCTTCATAAGATGTAATGGGGGAAAAACCATAATTTATTTCATACATGTATTTAAATTTTTTTTAAAGGTGTCTAACTTGTTAATGAGCGAAATGATATTCTTTCTTTTAAAGTGTAGACATTGTAGTGTCACATTACTATAAACTCAAACATCCAACTTAATAAGGTTCAGTGTAAATGGCATTTTAAACATTAAAGTGCTATCAGCATTAAAGCTGTTGTGTCAGAATCAGATGATGGCTTAGTTCATGTATTTATAGAGCAAAGTACAGTTAACAAGTGTTGAGTCATATATTTGTATTTATTGGAATAAAGTAATGGATACAAATAACATTATAATTATATATGCATATAATGCTTGAGATTTTACCATTTTCAAACTGTGACCCCAATGAAAATCTTTCCTGATTGCAGACTGATTTGGAACTTTTTTTGTTCACTGTCAGTCGTATACTTGTGCCATATACAATATAAAAATTCACTAAAAGCCATAAAACCTTAGTTATAGCAAATAAGTATAAAATGTTATTGGACTATCCCCAACCCAAACCCCAAGAAAAAAAAAAAAACAGTAGCAAAACAAAAACCATTTTAAACCAAAAGCTTAATTATCATGGTTAAATTTGGTGGATTAATTGTGTTTAGTTTTAGACATTTTGTTAAATAATATTTTATGCTGTCTAAAACTATTTTGACTTCAAGTTTATTTTACATGTTTTTACAAGTCAGTATTATAAAATGAGTTATTTTTGCCGATAACCTCTGAAAATATACAAAGCTTTTAAATATCACGACAAGATGTTACCCCTCTTTGAAAACCATTTTCTCCCAAAATAAACCAGTCTGTTAAAGAATTTAAATCTATATCTAAATGTAGGTATAGTTGATGCACATCATGCAAGTATATCCAAAATAATGTATGGTAACCATACAAACTGATGAATAAAGTCACTTTCTCAACAAGAAAAAGAAAAAAAAGGGGGGGGATGTATTGATTTCAAGATTTTTAATTGCTGACCTTTTTATAACTTTGATCATGTTGTTTGATGACATATGTTACCATTTTGACAAATGTCCAAGTAAGATTTGAAATGGCCCGGCTCCATGTACACATGTTCATTGTTACTTATATATATATACATCAATCTCATTCTGCAAAGGTCACAGAAACTGAGAATTTACCATATCTAATTCATCCAATGTCTTGCAGTATCACATATTGAAAGTTACTGGATATCAGAATATATCATGAAAAAAAAGTATTCGGACATTTTTCAGCCAAAAGTATTCTCTAAAAATCAGCAAAAATGCACTATGAAAATGTTATAATGCACATTGCATTTGCAAGAAATTTACAAAAATAAAGATTTCTTGAATAATTACAGTGTATACATGTCTTGTGAATGATATTAATAGAGTACTATTTTTTTTTAATTGAATAAAGTCCTGTGAAATGTAATTTATATAGTCTGGAAGTCTTGAACTACTTGTATACATCACTACATAAACTTATAAGGGCTTTTGAAGTAAAACTTTGTTTTCTGCTTTACCAATGCATTGAGGTTTTGAAGGCCTCAAAAATACCTATTCAGTCCTTGATCCTCCCAAAATGCAGGGTTGTCCCTAAGAATCGAAATAACAGGGGATTTTAACACAGTAGAAGGGGGTCTAGGGTTCCTCTCTACAGGGTTCGAGGAGAATAACTGGGGATTACATCATTATAGGCGAGGCAATTCCCCGGCCCCCGGGTCTTAGGGACAACTCTGCAAAATGTGCCAAAAACTATAAATGACCCCAAATATAAGAGATGAATTGAAATAAACTGTATACAGTATCAAAACTATGCATCTGCATTGAAAATTTACTCGTACTCTTTTCAAATGCATGGACATATTTACTTCATATGGGACTTGTCCATTATATTACCAACCACCATATGAATGAAATGAAAATCAATGTGGTTTAGATATGCTTCATTTTATAATAAACGCAATTCTTTTGGCTTTATGCATGATGTGGATTTTGATGGCTTGAATAGAACATCAACAGCCAGCAATAGTGTTTGGAATAGATCATGTTATATTGTACTATTGAAACCGTACAACTCTTGTTTACAGATTTTGTACTTTAATACAAGTCAATATGCTACTT